CTTCTTGACTGCATTATCAAAGTCATCTCACTTTTTAACTCAAAGGTTGTACCTGCCATTCTAAATAGTTGCTAAGTTAATCAAAATATTGAAACAATATGAGCAGCCAATTCAAACAATGTCAATTTCACAAACGCCTTTGTCGTCTTAAAGTGAACAAGGACTAGTAGAACACCTTGTTAACAATGAAACCAGTAGGGAAACCAATGGAGACAACAGCTAAACAATATAATCCTGTTCAACGAGTAACACAAGAGGCTCAAAGAACAGCAACTCAAGTTATGCAAATTACAGGGATTACATGTGAAGAAGCTCAATGTGTTCTATTTACTTAAGAAAGACTACATGCCTTTACACGAGCTGTTGAGTGACTCGCAAGATGTAAAATTACACAGCATTAGCCAGAGCAGATGGAAGTCTTGATTATGAGACAAACTATCATCTTGGGCCTGAGACCTGCTGCGAAGACATGTAAGAAAAGAAGTAGTTTGAGCCACTCATACAACTAGGGAGCGCATTTGTTGGTGAATATATTACAGACCCATTTCGGTTCCCCTCCTCTATTGTTGAAGCCTCAGTGAACCTACGCCCATAAAAGCGCAAGAAATTCAAGGACTCATTTCTGGGCTGACTTAAAGGAATCCCACCTTCCAACATGCTGACTACTGTATCCATACTAGGCCTTAGTGCAGGTTCCTCTTGAACACAACACAAAGCAATGCAAACTAATTTCTTCACCTCTTCGTACGTCACACGCCCCTCTAGGCGTGGATCGGCAAGCTCCAAGTACTTTCCTTGCTCGTGCATCTCCAATGCGAATAAAGGAAAATAAACCAGTCCTAATCCTGTTGAAGATGATGATTGGCAGCCTGAACTATCACTGCCATCCAAGCTATGGTCATGGGATCGTGTTGTGCAATTCTTCCTCCCACTTACAACTTCTAATAGCACCATGCCATAGCTATAGACATCGGTTTTTTCTGAAATGGCTGAATTAGTGAGCCATTCTGGTGCAAGATAACCACGCGTGCCTCTCATTGTTGTAAATAGACCTGATTGTTCAGGTGCAAGAAGCTTTGAAAGACCAAAATCAGATATTTTTGCCTGAGAGGAGTCGTGCAATAAAATATTTTCTGGTTTCACATCACAATGGATGATTTTATGCTCACAACCTCTATGCAAATACGAAAGCCCACGCGCAGTCCCAACTGCTATATCGTATCTCTCTTGCCATTCTAGAGCTGGTCCATTGCCAAAAAGGGTACGGTCTAATGAACCACGATTCATATACTCGTAAACAAGAAGGCGTTCTCTTGCTTGGGCACAAAACCCTTTCAACTTGACCAAATTCGTATGATGTATGTTCCCAATGACTGCAATCTCAGTGCAGAATTCTTTTTTCCCTTCAATGCCTAAATTTGTAATTTTTTTCACAGCCACAACAGTTTTGTCAGGAAGTATACCTTTGAAAACTGAACCAAAACCCCCAGAACCTATCTGGACTTTAAAATTATCCGTTGCAGCCGCCAGTTCTTCCAAAGAAAACCTTCTAGGCAAACCTGGGATGAAAAAGGCATCCAATTCTACCGAAGCACGTGAGCTAACATTGCCTAATTTTATCTGTATCCTCTTTAAGAATAACCGTCTCCTCCACCAAAGGAAATATAGAGTTAACAATATGAGAAACCCAGAAATTGGCAAGAGAATAAGAGCGGCTAGTGGAAAATTATGTTTTTCTTCACCGTTGAACCTTGGTGGAGTAGATCCAACTTGAACTTTAACATAGCCCAGCAGATCATTCACAAATGAACTACTCTGTCTGATTGACCCAAACCTGTCTTTGATCATGTAGCAAGAACCTGATGTATTTCCATAGAATATGCCCAAACACGAGCATTCCTTTGAACAGAGAGCTTGACAGGATGGGATATTCTCTCCATACCTAGCCGGCTCAGAGAAATCAATTGCAAAATATTCTATACCATATCCCAAGCTCAAATACGAAAAGGCTGCTGATTTTATCTCTTCTCCACCTCTAGAGGAGTTGCAAGGAGAAGCCAAAACAATGGAATGATCAATTGGTTTACAGCCCCAACCACCCAAGCTTGGTGGAACTGTGTGAAAACTTGATGGACAGGAACAACTAGGGCTGTTGGTTGCACTGTCCTCATTGCAAAGACCAACTTGACCACAAAAGAAAGGAATTTGACAACTGTCAACTGGCCCTATGAATTCTTGTGTCCAACCAGCACTGGAAAAGCTCTTGACAGTAAACTGCCCTGTCGACTCCAATTTGGCTATTCGAAAGTCAGAATGGGGCAAGACGACTTCAATTACGACAACGGAACTGTTATGAGCCAACAGGTAGAGACCAGTTGCATTTAGTATCATATATTCCACTACAGCATTTGAGTTTATAAAAGCATTTGGATCCATGGATAATTTCCAGTAGATTTGTCCATACCATTCCAGCATAGCATCAGATGCAGCAACCGAAAAACTATAATTACTGCTCGACAAGTCTGAACTTGAGATTGAGCTGAGCAGCACAGTACCAACAGGAAAAGATTGCCCAACTACAATGGTGTCAGTTGGATAATGGAAACTCTCCCAAAGGGAAACATTTGATCGATCAAGTAAGACAAGATTACCGATTTCGGTTAGCCTCAACGCATATACCGCTGATTGTAATTGTGGAGTTGACCATCTCAGATTACCATCCCGATCAGTTATGGAAATTCCCTTACTACTAATATTAACATTACCAGTGCTTGATACTGGATCATTACGGTTAGCAGACCAGATGATTGTGTTGGAGGGCACATGAGTAACACAAAAGTAGAAGCTGCCTTCTTTAGCCAGAGGGTTGACAATAGCTGCCTTGTAAGTTTTATTGCGAGAGAACAAGAAGGCACCACCATTGTCAGCAAATTTGATGTTGGAAGCCACAAAATTCGGGTATATGAATTCGGTATAGGATATACTGGAGGCGAGAGGCAGAAAAAAGAATATTACAGGGATGAACAACAGGGATCCCATCAAGAAAATTATAGAAGACAGACACAGAACAGGAGATTCTTCAATGGTCTGAATGAAACTAAGAAGCTTTGTTTGTCTCCATTGCAAACTTGTTTTTCAGCTAGTTGACTTCTGAAACTCTATCTCTATGTCTCTAAATTGATGGGCTAAGGGTAGGCAATCATTTAGTTATTGCCTCCATCATTTGAGGTGCAAGATTAAAATATCCATGAAAGGTCACAACTCACATCAGACAAATATTTAATTAATTTAGATAAATTTGACCAAACATCTCTTCTCTAAGATGAACAAAGCTTTGAGGCCGACAGACACAACGACCTTTTCTTCTAATAAAATATGCAAAAATTGCTATTATAATTCTACTTACTTCAATCAGAGTGATATAAATTCCATCGTACATAAACAAACACGCTATCAAATTTCAACAAAGAACATTTTACAAATCTGATCATAAGTCATACCGTCATTCAATTGGAAAACATAATGAAATTTCGCTGCCGCCACTGCCCGTAGCCGAAAATGACAGTATGGCTGGGCCACATTCCACTGAGTCGATCCGATTGGTACAGAAAGAACGAGTTATCCCCGAAAGCATCAATTACTTCTAGGGAACCAAATGATCGGTTTTGAGAGAAATCTGGACGGTAGAAATCAGACAGAAATCGGAGGCAAGACATGGCGATGGAGAAGAATGGAACAAATTCGCACGAGAGTGGTGGCTGCAGCCTGCAGAGTTCCGGCGCGGGAGGAGCTTGGCGGGAGACGCTGCAGAGAGTTCGAAACCCCGCAGAGTTCGAGATATCGGAATTCATGTTTATTTTATTTTAGTTTTACAATTTTTTTTTCTTTTTTCTTTTTTCTTTTTCCAACGCTTGTGGAAATATTAAAAATAATTTATTAAATTTCTATCATTTATTAAATATAAATTAAGAAAATGTTAATTAAAATAAGAAATGTTCAACAAAATATTACTAATTAATAATAAATGCCTCTGATTTCGCAAATAATAGAAAAAAAAATTATATCAATTAAAAAACAATTAATTTTAACAAACTTATTATTAATGTAAAATACACCTTAAATATTATCGTTTTTCTGTTAATTATTATATTTATGGACTTTAATATAATTCAAATTAAAACAATAAAATAATACCAAATATTTAGTTTTTTTATTTATTTATTTAAATAGTTGTCATTTTATTATTGCGACGTGCAATAAATAATTATTAATACCAACATTACTTGAATTATTTTAATAATTTCCTTTTAATTTTATTAGACCAACTAACACTTAAAAATCAAACATAAAACCCAAAGATAACATAAATAATTTTATCAAACATTATGTTTGCATTATGATGACCACGACACATTGACCTAAACATGGTTGCGACGTTTGGTATCCTTTCAGTCCCACCAAACCTTAATTCAATTAAATGTCCAAAATTTCTATGCATCTGTTGAAAGATAAATTATCTGACGAAACCTGTATTATACGATCAATAATTTTGATAATTAGATGTAATTATATATAGTTTTTAAAAATACGTGCAAATTTTGTATTATCGTGACGATTTCAATGCCACAAAGTCAATGGCTTCCACGTAAACAACATTTATTTAATTTTTAAATTTGCAACTATTAATTTATTGTTAAATAAATTATGATTATTTAATGGGTCTGCAACATTTTTTTTAATTATTTTTATTTTCCACTAATAATAACAGTTATTTATTAACACGTGATATTTATTTTTTGTTGCAAAAATTATATTTTGTTATTTTTATTTATTTATGTTTTTGAGTTCTTACAAGACACTGACATGGGCCGTTGGAGGACAAGCCCAATATTGATACTGGTTGGGCCAAAACCGATAATGCATTGGAGTAAATACGTCGTCGTTTTTGCTGCTATGAAATTATAGATTTTCGAACTTTCGTGAATACGCGAAAAATAGGACGCGCCAAAATAAGCTATTTTCTTGCTCGGGGCCTCAGAGTACAGAGCGACTGTAGCGGTAACCGCCGGGAATGTCTGTAATCGGTTGGTATGGACCTCTGATTGATCTCTCTGAAGCTGCTCTTCATGTTGGTGATTTTGTTCAACTCGTCGTCTTCATTCATCGATCCACTCCTGTTGAGGTTTCTCTCCCTCTATTTCTGTTTACAATCTTTCTCATTGAACTTTGGATCATTGTCGGAGCAACTGTTATTTCCTTGTGTATAGTACAAATTTTCTAATGGCGGAGAGGTCATAAGGACGGACATCAAAGTAGCTGATGATACACGGTCGTTTTTCTCTGTATCACTATGGCAGAAGAAAATGGCAGCCACAGCAATTCCTGGCGATGTTGTATTGTTGCAGAGTAAGCTCCGATGTATAATTATTAGTCAATTTATTGGATGAACGGTTTCGGTTTTTGCTAGTAATAAGTTTCATCTCCAGTTTTTGGTAATGATTTTCAAGGCTATATTTATCTTTATTTTATTATTTGGTTCTTCGTTCGGGACGTTTCAGATGTGAAACTAAGGAAATTCAGAGATTCAGTTGAGGCAACAACTGTCCAGTGTTCTTCCCTAGTTTGTATAATCCACCCTTACGAAACACTTTTCTCTGAAGGTATAAGACTCAATTAATTTTTGCCTCACTACTGCTCTTATTTTTGAGGTAATTGCTGCAACTTGTTGCATATTTCTCTAATAGCAGAAGAACCGGTGCACGTTTGTATCTTTTGGCTCTTTGAGTTTATGATTTCCAGCTTTGCAGTGTATTGTTACATCTGGTTGGATTGTAATTGATTGTATACTGGGTTTAGGCCTTATGGATTAGTTAAATTGAATTTGTTTTAGTCGATCCAAGCAGAATAACAATAGGAACTAGATTATCGAGTTTCTTGGTAGCATCATCTGTTAGAAATGAGTTTTCTAGGATCAGACTCCATACCATGGAAGGATTAAAAGCATGTTAACGCATTGCTTTAACGAAATTTACTTGGCCCTATATCAGTTGTAGAAAGCTTTCTTCTTAAAATTCTTATTGATCGGCTATTTTTTAGAGTCTGGAAATAAAACCTAACCAGTCTTTGTGTATATAGGTGTAGACGAATTAATGGCCAATTGTCGAGTTGGTTTAGTAGCTAAAGAAAAGCTCAGGAAGGTAGTAGAATGGGTGAAGGGGGCTCGATCTACCTTCCGCAACATAAAATGGCATAGTGACCAAGTATTTAATTTTTGACCCACCATTATATTTTCTATCATTTTCATATTTATGCAATGTCTCCATTCTTTTTTACCTGTGTGCTATATTGAACATTAAAGCATGACATCTATCTATTTCCATAGTCTGAGTGGTTTAATTTGTAGAGAAGTAGGCTGTGTCTAATTTAAACATTTGTGCGATGTGACAAGGCTGGAAAATAACATTTATGATCGTTTTTTTTTTCTGATTTTTGAAGTCACTGGTTTTCAAGTTATTTTATGATCAAGTATTTTTCTGATGCCTTGTGCATATGCAGACGTTTTGTTGATTTTCTCTTTTCGTATAGTACCTTTTAGATGCTCTCGTCGGCTTCTTGTACCTAATTACGATTATCAAAATTTTCTGGTAGTTGGGAAATGGGTTTCATTTCAGGTTGATTTGGATTATGAACTTTAAGGACAAAACACTCGAAGGAAACCTACCTTCATAGGGTGGAGGCATGGCAGATAGAGAGGTGGAGATCTTACAATTGAAATCTCAACGGAAAAACCTTATTAAAACTATTGAACGTAATTTTGTAAATATGATAGGATTACGCTCATTCCAAATCACATTTTTCATGGTCGACTTAGATACAAATTGTTTGAACATAAGTGAAGATCTGAAGATTCTGAACATGTAATCCTGTACCATGACTGTAATATTTTTTTGCTTCCTAAAAGATAGTAGTTTTATCACAAATTTATATATATAAATTTTTCATTTTAATGTTGATTATTATGAAGCTTATGGATGTAGTAGATTAAGCTTTTTGAATGAACAATCGATTGTAGTTGAAATTTCCATATGCAAGGCATGCCAATTTTAACTGATTGCCTAACTCCATATTAGACCCAAGTCCTGAATCTTTTGTTGTATTCATCATGTTGGACCACCTGGTTGGAAAAAGAACCATTTCTTCCGCAACTGGAAATTGCCTGAGAAAAGGATATCCAGAGACTGTTTCTCGCTATCCGAAGTATTATGTCTAACTGAATCATGCAAGGTCATATTTGATGCATCAATTGGTGAAATGTTTTCGTTACCCTCCTTGATTGATCTTGATGAACCTCGAAAAGAAAAGTTGTTTGTTAGCAGGCGATTGTACGACGAGGAAGATTTTGATCTAGCAGAAGATCTCATTTGCACCGGCTGTCAGTTATGTGGTACACCTTTAGGTCTGGAAAGTGGGTACGATAAGTTGCAGCATTTTTTATTTATATCACTGGAGATGGTTTTAATTCTGATTTCTGTACACTGCTCGTCCTTCTATTGCCTGCAGATCCGTGGTTGATCAGATTTCTGCTCCATTTTATTGCTCAAAAAGCTTGAACCGCCTCCACGTAGTAAGCATGATATATAGGCCTTTCATGGTACGAACTATTCTTGCACTTTCTTCATGTTCTTAACTCTTCCACCTTTAATATTAGTTTTGATCCCCGAAATTGGCTATATATTGGTATCACTCTATTTGTCGTTGTCTTTTTAGTAGCACTTTAGGAGTTCACGTCTTTCCTTTACGATGTCCCTAGAGCTTCTAGTGCTGATGAATCTTCCACTGCCAGTGTTAAAAAGGATGAATTATAGTTTACCATATGTATCATATTTAATATTTTATTATAGACAAATATCTAAGTAGTTATCTTCCATTACGGCTTACCATAGATATCGTATTTGCCTGTTATTATAGGCAAACATCTTGTATCCAATTGTACTTTCATTTATTGCTCTTTTCATTTCTTTCCTAGTTTATTTGATGATTATAAATAGATATTTACCACCTTTTAGTCGGGGTGGTTTTAGCAAATATTCTCAACAAGTATATTATCTTGCACATTTTTCGCTATCAATTGTATCCAAAATAACTTAGCCAAATATTACCCGACACGTGTGCTAGACTCGCTGTTCATTTCTGCAATTAAACCTATCATCATTTTGTTTAATCACGCTAACTAGTAATATCATATATATGTCTTCTCTCGCCTTATTTAGATAGTTTGTATTCGTTGCATTCTGAATCTAATATTTTGTTTTACTGCAGCTATACGTGTGGGATGAATCAGAATGCATTCCTCTGCTTGTTAAGAATCAAGCAGCAGAAATCTTGTTTGGTAACATCAAAGCTGACAAGATTTACTCGCATTACATTTGGCATAAGTCCTATTCCCATCCTAATTCAAAAGCTATTGTTGAACCAAGCCACTCAGGTGCTCCGGTTGCTAATTCTCCTCGAGCTATTGAGAAAGAACAGAGGCCCCCTAAAAATTTATATTTCATTTGGTTGATCCTTCTGAAAATGTTGCTGCATCAAGGAAAAAATAGCCCTCTTAAATTTGAAGTTAGAGTAACTACCAGCTTGGACAGGGAGAATGGGAGATTTGAGATGGTTTCTTTGACATTCCCATGCTCCTTAACCAATCGATCTTTGAACTGAGCACATTCTACATGTGATCTGGAGAAAGAACAGCAGCCAAAGCGTGAGATTCATAAAGAAAATTATGGATGGACATCTGAAATTCCTGAAGCAGATGGAGACTGATAGTTTTTCTTACGGGGGTGATATTAGAGTATGGAAGAGCATGGGGAGAACTTCGTGCATAAAGGTTTGTTTGAGTTTCAAACCTATTTAATTCTGAAACCGAGTTCTTCAAACTATGGTATAATTTTTTCAACATTGTACGTTTACGCCTTTTATATTGATAAAGAATCAACGTAAGAGAAAACTCTCATATCCAATGATAAAGAATCACTACAAGGAAAGTAATTGAATATCTCAATATCTCAAGATAAAAACGTTGAGATTCGAATCACAAATAAATCATGTATGATTTTAAACATATAGAATTATAATAAATAAATAAATAAAACATTACATTGGTTGAAGTAAATCGCAAATTCTCTTTGTACTATATTTTTCTAGTCTCGTTTACAGAAAAATAACATATATGATTTTATATAGCCTTAAAATAAAACATCTAATCTTTCTTGAGTCATTTTAAGAGTTTGTAACTTTTATATATTTTATGACTATAATTAATCATCATGTAATCTAAATATAAATAAAAAGTTTTAAAATTTAAAATACATTGATAAAACACCATAAATCTATATTTTAATGTTCATTGTAAATTTATAATCATCTAAGAACAATTGAAACTGCATTTTGTCCGTCGTAAATTTATAATCATCTAAAAACAAATGAAACTGCATTTGAAGTATCTTGAAGTGTTTGTTGCATAAATGAGACTTAATTCGATTACAACTTGAGTTCAATTTTAATAGAACTTGACTAGATCTTGTTCAACTTTAATAGAACTTGACTAGATCAGGTGACAATTAGAATAACATTCTTCCCAACTTACTTCAATTCAAGTCCTTATTGTATCATTGAGATGAACCAAACCAAATTGAGATGCACCAAACTAAGTCAAGACCGTTGATTTCGTGAAGCCATAACTCATTCAGTGTCACTGGTTTGAAAGAAGCTGTAACAAATCAGCCAAGGGCCATGCAACAAAGATATTCATCTGATACAACCGTGTAGGCATGATATCAAGAAAGGGACTCAGATTCGTTAACAGAAGCTTCGGCTGCAGAGTTTTGGGCTTCTAATAGCTTCATTTGACGCTCAGCATGTTCTCTTTCACAGGCACTGACTCCCATTATAATATCAAGCATTGTACCAGTTGTGCCAAAAAACACAAGGGGTGCCAGTGACTTCCTCTTTATTCCCACTGGAATTGCTAGCAACGCTCCTGCTACTGAGAATACCCAAGTGCCCAGCGCACTGTGGAATGCCCACTAATCAATCAAATCTCAAGAGAAAATCCAGTTGAAAGAACAAAAAAAAAAAAAAAAACGAAACATGGTGTATAATAGCCCAAGTTCACCGCTAGAAGATATTGTCCGCTTTGACCCATTACGTATTGTCATCAGTCTCATGGTTTTAAAATGCATCTGCTAGGGAGAGATTTCCACACCCTTATAAAGAATGTTTCGTTCCCCTCATCGGTTTCGATGTGGGGTCTTGCACAGTTCTCGAATGGTCATACTCACCAAAATTAAAACCATGGCTACCAAAAAGATAAAAGACATTTGACACAACATTTCAAACTAAAATTTCTGCCTCCATTTGATCCAGAAACACAAAGGGATCCTCCCAGGGTTTATGAAAAATTTGCCCAAATTTTATGATAGGCAATTTGGGATTTATTTGCACAACAAGATGATGCTATTAAGATAAAAGTCTAGAGAAATTCTTCATTTTCAAGTAAAGCAATGTAAGAGAAAAGGTAGGAGGAGAGAGCTTACTTTGAAACTGAGCACTCCTCAAGATGCTTCACTTGTTCTTGGCTTCCCATAGCTTTTCCTCAGTTACTAATGAAAAACAGCAACAAAATTAAACTCCAAAATTAGCTCTCAACCATATTGATATCAAAAGTCAAGCACCAAAAAATCTCATAATTAGAACGCTTGAAAGGATCATCATCCCAGGAAATTCTACTGGAATTTACATATATGGTTGTCCAAAATAATCCATATTGATTGGTCATGGAATTTGGACAACTTGACCCTGTAATTTATATACACAAAAATAGCAAATAGTTAAGATCCCACATCGGTTGGAGAGGGAAGCGAAACATTCTTTATAAGGGTGTGAAAACCTCTCCTTAGTAGACGCGTTTTAAAACTATGAAGCTGATGACGATATGTAATAGGCCAAAGCGGACAATATCTACTAGCGGTGGGCTGCACCGCTGTGTGCCAGCAATGACGTTGGCCCCAAGGGAGTGGATTGTGAGATCCTACATCGGTTGGAGAGGCATTCCTCGTAAGGGCTCTACTAGCGGTGGGCGGTGTGTTAGCAAGGACACTACGTCCCCAAGGAGGGTGGATTGTGAGATCCCATATCGATTGGAGAGACATTTTTATAAGGGTTCTGCTAGCGGTGGGCAGTGTGTCAGCGAGGACGCTGGCACCCAAAGGGTGGATTGTGAAATCCCACATCGGTTGGAGAGACATTCCTTATAAGGGTTCTACTAGCCGTGGGGGATGTGTCAGTGAGGACACTTGGACCCAAGGGGGATGCATTGTGAGATCCCACATCGGTTGGAGAGACATTCCTTATAAGGGTTCTGCTAGTGGTGGGTAGTGTGCCAACGACAACACTAGGACTCCAAGGGGGTGGACTGAGAGATCTCATATCGGTTGGAGAGGCATTCCTTATAAGGGTTCTGCTAGCAGTGGGTAGTGTGCCAGCAACGACACTAGGCCTCCAAGGGAGTGGATTGTGAGATTTCATATCGGTTGGAGAGGCATTCCTTATAAGGGTTATGCTAGCGGTGGGTAGTATGCCAGCAATGACACTAGGTCTCCAAAGGGGTGGATTGTGAGATCTCATATCATTGAAGAGACATTCCTTATAAGGATTTTGCTAGCGTGGGCAGTGTGTCAGCAACAATGCTGACCTCCAAGAGAGTAGATTGTGAGATTCCACATCGGTTAGAGAAAAAATTGATATCCAGAACAATTTACTGTCGGGAATTCATCAATGGTACACATACAGTAAAACACCAGTTCCATCTTTTCATAAAAAATGGATAAAAATCGACGAAGAATTAGTAGTTCTAGGTCAAATTTCCGTCCTCAACAAATTATCAATAGCGAAGGCTCTAAAACCCAACCATAAACCTACATTTCGATTTGCACTCATTCCTCAACTAGCATCACCTTAATTGACATCGAAGTCCCAATAATCAAATTTTATGAGTAACTATGATTAAGAACACAGTGCGAGATAATCAACCTATTTGCTGAAAAATCGAAGGCAGATGATTGAAGAAAACAAAATTAAATTGATCGCAGACAGAGAGGAAGTGAAGCTAGAAGAAGAAGAGATGAAAAGGAGATTTTCACACACCTGAACACTGGTTGACGGCGGGAATGACGCTTCTCCGGCGAGGAACTCTACGGACTTTCGATCTGGGGATGTTGAAATTAGTATTATTGCGAGGGTAAACTAAAAAATAATTTTAACTTCTTTTAAAATTTATATTTATTCTTATAAAAATATAAATTTTTTTTAATATAATTTCTATTAGAGAATTTAAATTATTCAAAACAATTAAATAATATTTCATAAAAAATAATAATGATATAATATAAATATATAACAAATTAGTTTTGGATTTTATAAGTGAGATAGGATTAAACTGGATCGAAATTTGGGTGGGGTCGGGGTGGTGACGAAATGGAAATATAATCCTTATTTTCAGCCCCGTTTAGCTAATAGAGAGATATCTTTCCACCCCTCTCATTTTCCTATTGAAATAAAGATTCCCTGACGGTCCGAGATGGGTTCTAGTTGAACGAGTTAAACATACATTTATATTTTGAATCGTACCCCTGCATTAGTCGTATTGGTAGAATCCTCGAGTGTCGAACAGATAGATGGTGAGCCTAATAAGATGTAGTTACGGTGAAGATTCATACTCAAACTAACTCTAACGATCTAGTTACGTGTTTTGAAGAAAACAGGTTAACTCTCGTAGGAGCGCTATAATGATAGACAACTATTCGAGGGAGGCTCTATGGAACATTATTCGAGGATGAGATCATGGGTGCAGCTAAAAAATAAAAACTACGAGAGTTTATATATATAAAAGTATGTAATATAATACTTTTCTAGAAAAGCTTATACGATCGTTCGTCCCAAAAATATAAATTATTAGATTTATACAACGTGGTTAAATTTATCGAAAAATTTTAGTTTTTTTATATTTTTTTTATTCGTATAGCTTTTGACAAAAATATATAATAAAATGGATAGAAGTGAATTTTAATTTTTCCTTTCTCCCTTCTTTTTCATTTTTTATGGTAAGGAATATAATTTTTTATTTCAATTTATTATTTATGAATTTTAAAATATATTAACTATGGATTTTACTTTTAAGTTCTAGAGATTTATTTTAATTTTAACTATTTAATGATATTATATATTTACATAATAAATTATTAAAGAAAGTAATATATGGTAACACTTCTATATTCCTTCTTGTATTACCTCACTTTTTCTTAAAATATTATTATTTTTTTATTCAACAAAATATTTTCAATACTAATATTCTTCAATAATAAACTATTAAAATTCACTAAATTAAAAAGTTAAATATTTAAGTAATTCCAAAATTATATTTATTTATTTATTTCTATTAGAATATATTCTTACTCTTTTTTAAAAAAGTTTATCCTTATCTTATAAAATAATACTCAAATTTGATAATTAATAAATTATCTTAATTTTTGTATTTTGTGTCAAAAATATTTATGAAATTAAAAAATATATTCAAAAATACAATTTTTTTTAAAAAAAGTTTAAAAATATTAAGGTTATTCAGGTAATTTTTAATTTTTATTTTAGAAAAATTTGAAAAAAAATATATTTTTCAGACAAATTGAGTTTATTTTATTTTATTTTAATAAATTCAAGCTATTAAAATTATAAAAATAAAAGCGCGTGCAGCGCACGAATTAGAGAATTAATGGGAATATAACGCAGCGGCAGTCGAATGCAGGATGTAGTCCCGCATGTAAGCCCAAATCAAGGGAGGCTATTTTCTTGGCAGGCGCTTGACGCAGCCCCCGGTTAGCGTTGAACTCGATCCAAATTAGTAACGCTCGTGGAAGAAAAATCGAAATAAAATTCTCCATTTTCCTTTGATGCTCTTACTTTCCCCTTTTGTGCAGCTTAAATCATAATTGTTTTTACCAACGCGCAGAATTTATAATGGGGATACAATGCACTTGGACTCTCCAGCGGGTTCAATTTAGGCCTTCCGTTTTGTTCCGGTGTATTAATACTAATCCAAGACCAAATTCTCTTCGCGCATCTGTTTTCGCCACCATGTCCACCGTTTCCACTGAGAAGAGCGTCGATTCCGACCAGAAAGGATCGAACAACGACACTCAGAAGCTATTGCAGGTAAATCCTAGCTTCCTAATCTCTTATTCCGTTCTATTTGATGGATTTCTGTTTGATTGCGATGGGGGATTTGATTTTTCATCGCCTGCGGATTCTATCGGCTCTCGGTGGAAATGGGTTTGGTATAGTCATGTTTTTGTTCTTTGGGTAATGCTTAGATTGTGGATTTTGTTTTCGTTTCTTGCACTACCTTATGCTTGATTATCGAGCTTAATTTACTGTGATTTCATCAGCGAGTGCAAATTTAGGGTTTGTGATTTGTTGGGGGAGCTTGGAAAGGGATTTTGCGATTCTTAATGCAGGAAGAGGTGGGTTTTGATTGGTTTCAGCCTTTTGTGGTCTGTAATCTTTGGGGGCGTTTAGAAATGGATAACTATCTGGTTATTGTGAAAGGTTTTATTCTGTGGCTTGTGTTACTGCTCCAAGTTCTTTTATGTTCATGGACCCACTTATCAATGAATGTGTTGTTAGGAACACGACTCTCGACTCTCCACAATGGTACGATATTGTCCACTTTGAACATAAGCTCTCGTAGCTTTGTTTTTGGTTTCTCAAAATGGCCTCATACCAATGGTGATATATTCCTTACTTATAAACCCATGATCAACCCCTTAATTAGCTGATGTGGGACTCCACTCCCAACAATCCTCACCCTGGACAAAATACGCCATAGAGCCTCCCTTAAGGTCTATGGAGCCCTCGAATAGCCTCACCTTAATTGAGGCTCGACTCCTTCTCTAGAGGCTTCGAAGAAAGTATGGAAATACTTGAGTGTGGGTTTGGAATGGCTTATTAAAAAAATACCTGAGTGTTTTTAGAACTTTCAATATTACTATCTACTCAAAAACTAATCTCAAACTCACCTTTACACTTTTGTTGTCAGCATCACAGGAATCTGAACTTTCAGATTCCTTTTTACGAACTATAAGCTTTTGTATTGCTCTTACAACTTACCAACCAACTCTCCACTTACCCAAAAATTTGTAACTATGATGGTTTATGAAGTACTCCAACTCTTCTTCCTTTTTTGGGAAATCCCATCGGGTTTTGGGGGATTCCTCATTGTCTTCTTCTGTGAAATCCTACATCGGTTGGGGAGTAGAACAAAACATTCTTTATAAGGGTTTGGAAACCTCTCCCTAGCACACACATTTTAAAAACCTTGAGAGGAAGCCCGAAAGGAAAAGCCCAAAGAAGACAGTATCTACTAGCGGTGGGCATGGGCTGTTACATCTTCTGTTCTTCTTTGGTGCTCAAAAGAAGTTCCATTTCCTATCAAACTAATAAAGTTATGGGTTTATTTTCTACCTCTTGTTGTTCAGTCATACCATTGGATTTGTTTGTCACAGATTGGTCCTCTAGTATTTAGTAACTGGTTGTCGTTATTACTGATATTTAGACAAGCAAATCGGAAGCTCGAATCTACTTCACTATCCTTTAGTAACCTAGTGAAAGTTGTACTATTGCATATATACTGATGTGGTTTTGTGTTTTCAATGGAGCATGCCTCACTTCAATTAGTTGCACACTTTCTGTGAGGTCCCATCTTTAAACACATTGTTTAGAGAGGGAAACAAAACACTCCTTATAAGGATGTGGAAACCTCTTCCTTCTTCCTTCGTTTTAAAACCTTGAGGGGAAGCCCAAAGAGATAATATCTGCTAGCGGTGGGTTTGGGCTGTTACAAATGGTATCAAAGCTAGACACTGAGTGGTGTGCCAACGAGGACTTTGGGCCCTCAAGGGGTGGATTGTGAGATCCCACATCGTTTAGAGAGGGAAACAAAACATTCTTTATAAGGTTGTAGAAACCTCTCCCTACCATACGCGTTTTAAAACTTCAAGGGGAAACCCAGAAGGGAAAGCCCTAAGAAGACAATATTTGCTAGCGGTGGGCTTGGGCAGCTCTTTCCTTCTCTAATTACCAATCCTATCTTTTGTACTAAATGACTGCAGTTATGTTGCTCGTTTAGTATTTGTTTCTTCTTATCCTTCGACAATGTCGAGTGAATATCGATGATGATTGTAATGCTTGGATGCTTCTGATGCCTAAATTTTGATTCCTGAAGAAGCTTTAGATATTTCATATATGTATATTAGATAACTGGAACTTGCATGTTCTCTTTTAGTAAGGAAGAGATTAGTAAGGACTATATATGCTTGAATGTAAGGATAGTTCTTGTTCTGTTTGGTAGGTTTCGAATCGGCTTGAAAAGTTCAAAACAACCATTTTCACTAGAATGAGTAACTTAGCGATCCAGTATGGGGGAATAAACCTCGGCCAAGGCTTCCCGAACTTTGACGGTCCCGAATTTGTAAAGGAAGCAGCAATTCAAGCCATCAAGGACGGGAAAAATCAATACGCTCGTGGATATGGAGTGCCAGATTTGAACTTGGCCATTGCTGAGCGATTCAAGAAGGACACTGGACTTGTGGTCGACCCCGAGAAGGAAGTTACCGTTACCTCCGGGTGCACCGAGGCAATTGCTGCAACCATGCTTGGCTTAATAAATCCTGGTGATGAGGTGATCCTTTTTGCTCCTTTTTATGATTCTTATGAAGCCACTCTATCAATGGCTGGTGCCAAAATCAAATGCATCACGTTACGCCCTCCAGATTTTTCGATCCCTATAAATGAGCTCAGGTCTGCAATCTCAAAGGATACTCGAGCAATTCTTATGAACACGCCCCACAACCCAACGGGAAAAATGTTCACGAAGGATGAATTGAACGAGATTGCTTCTCTCTGCATCGAGAACGATGTGTTAGTTTTTTCGGATGAAGTTTATGACAAGTTATCTTTCGAAATGGACCACATTTCCATAGCCTCTCTTCCAGGAATGTACGAGCGCACCGTTACGATGAATTCATTAGGAAAAACATTCTCCCTCACCGGTTGGAAGATCGGGTGGGCGATCGCTCCACCTCACTTGACATGGGGCGTTCGACAGGCACACGCTTTCCTTACTTTCGCTACCTCCACTCCAATGCAGTCAGCTGCTGCTACAGCTCTCCGAGCACCCGATTCTTACTACGAGGAGCTGAAGAAGGATTACATGGCAAAGAAAGCCATTTTAGTAGAGGGACTGAATGCAGTTGGGTTCAAGGTGTTTCCATCAAGCGGAACCTACTTTATCATCGTCGATCACACCCCTTTCGGGCTGAAGAACGACGTCGAGTTTTGCGAGTATCTGATCAAAGAAGTTGGGGTTGTTGCTATTCCGACGAGTGTGTTCTACCTAAACCCAGAAGATGGGAAGAATCTAGTGAGATTTACATTCTGCAAAGATGAGAACACACTGAGGGCGGCGGTGGAGAAGATGAAGGAGAAGCTAGTTAGGAAGTAAGGCCTGATTGCTGAGAGCAACCTCAGTTTCCTCGAACAATAAAATTTTCACTTTGAACTGCTTCCATTGGTGTCGCTTTTAAGTTAGCTGTTTTCCCAGCTGCTTTGCTCTTCAATGTATTGCATCAATGAATGGATAAATTTAATCGAATAACGATTCCAGTTGCTCTGTTCTTTATTTATTATTATTTTTTTTTTATGGGTCAAAATAAAATATAATTGGCAACTAAAAATAATAAATGATTTGAAAATTGAATAAAAAAAATATAACTATCTAAATAATAATAACAAAACATAATTTGAAAAATATATAAAAAATACTCGTTAATATCAACTTTTTAAATAGTTTCAAAAATATATTTTAACTTTTAAAAATATTTTTAAAAAAATTTAACATTTTAACATTAAAATATTTATAGATAATTTATGAGGTGTTCTTTTCAAAGTCACATTAAAATATTTATTGATAATCTATAATATGTCAATAGGTAATAATTTTTTTGAACATTTTTTTTATAAAGGTAAATATGTTACTGCTATTTTTTAAATTTTATAGGTTTTTTTATTTTTTTTATAGTACTAATTTCTTATAAAGTAAAAAGATATTAATAATTTTTTTTTAAAAAAATTTAAGAGTATTTTTTAAAAACTATTAAAACTTAAAATATATTTTTAAAAAATATTGGTCCAAAATCAAGGTTAAAAGTATTTTTTATAATTTTTTTAAGTAAAAGATATTATTTTAGGTTAGTTTTATTAGAAATAATTAAAAAAAAACGCATTTGAAATTTAAAAAAAAAAAAAAATCATTAAAATAAAAAAAATTATTTGTGTATGAAATCTACCAAAATATTTAGGCTTACCTATTCAACAAACAAAGAGAGCGTAGTCCCCAAAAAATCCGCCCAACTATGGTTAGAGTGGTCCCGATCGTCCGATCAAATCATGATTACCAATTCAACGGTGATTAGACCACGACGCAACTGACTTAACCCAATATCACCAACATGGAATCATTATCATCACCCATATGTCAAAGGCGGGACTAATCCGACGACCCTAAACTTCCCGCCCAGACCAAATAGACGCACAATTCAATCCGACCGTCAAAATAATCAACGGCCCACATTACACGCTAGTCTTCACTGGGCCCCACCCAAGGATTCTCAGTATAAATATATAAACCTGGTCCATCTTCTCCGATTCGCACCATTTTTTATCCTTTTTTTTTCAATCAAAATCGAGGGAAACCGAAAGAAACTTCACTCCCTTCTTCGTCTTCTTCAATCTTCTCCTTCGCTTTATCTCCTTTTTTCTTTGTTTGTTTGCTAAATTTCGCCCTGTGTGTACTGCTAATCCGGTGCCGTCGCTCTGGAATGTTGCCGGCGGAGGGTAGAACTACTTTTCTCTCAAGTATTTCGAGGTATATGAGTTTTTTTTGAAGGAGGAAAGTCGAAATTGAAGATACTCGGAGATTCGGATTCTGATTCGGTCTTCATCGGGCTCGTAATGGATGGTCAGAAAAGTCAGTTGAAGCTTACAAGGACTCAGTCGTCGTTACTCCGTTCGTCACCCACTTTCCGAACGTCTGTTCATAGTTTATCGTCCGTCACCGAGGAGGATTTCATCGCCATCCATCAAGAGGATGATGATGAAGAGAAGCAGAGGCCTAAGAAGCCTCGTAGGTCCAGTTCGTCATCGAGAGCCGGATTGAACCGATTTGCGAACCGTGTTCTTGCTATGGCTTTGCTTGTTTGCTTTACCTTCTTCTCTTTGCTCATTGCGTTCTTCTTTCTGAAGAAGGATGGGCTACTCCCGTCCGCTTGCTTGTTGGCTCTGATTTTTGTTGCTATTATGCTTGTATTTGTGAGCAAGAATAAGGGGTTAATTTTACATGTTCTTTCGTTTATCAAGCATTCTTGGCAAGAAAATGCAAAGAGATTCTGTTTCTCCAGGACGGATTCGACTCCGATTCAGTGGTACATTGGTGATTCGAACGGAGCCGAAGACGACAACCAAAATCAGAGAAAAATTAGCAGAGAGGGGGTAGAGTTCTATAGCAATGGTGATTTCTACGAGGGAGAATTTCACAACGGGAGTTGTAATGGAAGTGGGGTTTATAACTATTTCCTAAGTGGGAGATACGAGGGAGATTGGGTCGATGGGAGGTACGATGGCCATGGGGTTGAGACCTGGGCGAAGGGGAGTCGTTACAGGGGTCAGTATCGACAGGGTCTTAGACATGGATTTGGAGTCTATAAGTTCTTCACTGGGGATTACTATGCCGGTGAGTGGTGTAATGGCCAAAGCCATGGCGTTGGGCTTCAGACTTGCGCTGATGGTAGCTGCTATGTTGGCCAGTTCCACCGCGGCGTTAAGCATGGTCTTGGATCTTACTATTTCAGGTATGTCTCTTCTTGATTTTTGAGCTCTAAATGGTTTCCCTGAAACTTTCGCGTGCTTGAATTTCATCTGTTTGCTCTTTTTGGATCTTGATTGCTTGCAGTTAATACAACAGTGAAATATCTGAGCCCAAAAATTTGGTTGTAAGGTGTCTTGGGCGTTGTATCTAAGCTCAATTTGGTTGCATTTATGGAAGGAATCTGGTTGATTATCTTTGTATAAACGTAATCTTGCTAGAATTGGTAACTATGGTCATCTTGTTCCAGGGTGTTTCTTCATTTGTTCTAGCTTTATGAACATCTGGGTTCTGAAGCGATTTGGTTATCTTATTACTTAAATCAAAGAAACCTCTCTGTTTGGAGTTTGCTTCCTCTTTGACTGTGCATAATATTTTCAAATCTGCATATGGAATATGTAATAGAAGATTGTGAGCTCAATTTGACTTTAAGCTGCAATATGGGCTGCTCCTTGATGACCCATGTCATTAATTATCTTATTCTTTACGCATATAGCGCTGAAATGTCGTTGGTTTACTGATAAACTAGCTGGCTGGTTTCCAGTTGGGGGTACATAAATTTAATTACAATCCCAAAATGCATTTGCCTGTGCTGTAGAAATGGAGATAGATACGCAGGAGAATACTTTGGGGACAAAGTACATGGTTTTGGAATTTACCATTTCGCGAACGGCCATTGTTACGAAGGATCGTGGCATGAAGGCCAAAGGCAAGGATATGGCACGTATACCTTCCGAAACAGCGAATCCAAATGCGGGGGATGGGATGCTGGCAGCCTCAAGCAGCCTCTCTCACCGCTGAGTGAGGCTGTTGTCGAAGCTGTTCAGGTATACCTACTTGATCACTAGTCACTATTGTTGTGAGAAATGTAGCTCTTTATGAGAATTGAGGTGATTGTGATCATGTTTATACAAACTGCAGGCATCTAGAAAGGCAGCAAGGAATGCTATAAACCTTCCCCGGTTGGATGAACAAGTGAATAAAGCTGTGGTTGCTGCTAATAGATCGGCCACCGCGGCCCGAGTCGTAGCCATCAAAGCCGTTCAAAATCGAATGGATGGTAAGTTCTGCGATTTGGATGTGTAAGTCTCTGCTTGTTGCTAATTTTACAAGGCAGGCAAAAACAAATACCCTGGTGGCTGCAAACTCACCGGAGGTGTTTTCAAGTATGTATCATCATCACTCTTCAACTTGTACATTCTATGTATATTAATGAATTAGAGCACTTTTTGGTCTCTGTTTCTGTAGATTTCAACTCTATTGCCCACACTCAATGGTCCCTAGCTATATACCTTGATCTCTATTTCTGTATCATCAAGCCAAGCCATCTCTATCCGTAGAATTCCTTATTATTTCATTTAAATGATTCCATGGTCTCAAATTCAAACCCAAACACCATAATACCATTATTTTTTTAGGGTAGGTGGACGCAAAAAGGGGAAATTTGTAGCCAATGTAGCTTAAACCTTTTGACTTTAGAAATAATTCTAACTTCATTCAAATCTCTTTAGTTGGTGGTTAAATCTCATGCTCTTACTTGTTTGAAAAAAGGTTTTTATATTCCAAGTATGAACAAAACTCAGATGGATTGGCTATTAGGAACCACGAATCTCCACAATAGTATGATACTGTCTACTTTGAGCATAAACTTTCGTGGTTTTGCTTTTGGTTTTGACAGAAGGCTTCGTACCAATATAGATAATGCTCCTTATAAACCCATCAACTTCTCAATTAGTCAATGTGTGACTACTACTCTCAATAATCCTTCATTCAAATAGAGTACATCATAGAGCTTCTTTTGAGACCTCTTTCTTTGGAGCTTTCGAACAAAGTACATCATAACCCATGTGGGATTACTACTCTCATTAATTTACCCCTGAATAAAATTGTAATGGAACGCATCACCTAAGTTGATGTGAATTATCTTGAATTTTGGGGGACAAAAGGGAAGAAATTGGGATTTTTTATGTTGCCAATGGGAGGAAGGCATGTGCCATGATTCTGTCCCATGGGATAATATGGTAGCTTTTGGTCATAATTTTTACACATAGCACATGGCTCCATCATGTGTCTGATGGTGCAGATTACTTCTTTTCTACCAATAAAACTCTCTCTCTCTCTCTCTCTCTCTCTCTCTCTCTCTCTCTCTCTCTCTCTTCAAACTCATCATGAGTTAAAATCTTTTTCTTTCTTACTTTTGCTTTCAATTTGACTTTTTAATAAACTTATTTTACTTTCCAACTGCTTTTTGCTTACTATTCTCATTAGTTTAAATGCTTACCTCCCATTCAAATCTTACTTATATCCATGGAATCCATTTCCATCAAGAAAAGGTTAAAAACTCTTAATTCTAACAGATTCATCCCCTCTTCTTTAAGTTGGATGATAAGTAATTACAAGTCTAAAGACCCTTTAGGTGTTTTTGAAATTTAAAAATCGAATCAACACAAACGTCAAAGTTGGAGGCTAAACAAGAGTTGATTGCAAATTCAAAAGTTTAAAGCTTTTGAAACACGAGAAGGTGAATTTGAATGAAGATGAAGAGGCAAAGAAAAGCATGTCCAACAAAAACAAGAAGGATAAAGGAAAGAGGAAAGAAAAGGTGGGGAATGAGGAAGACAACTCCAAAAACATGTTACAAGGAGAAGCTTAAGAATTAGATTTTCGTGGTTACGACCTTTTTTAATTCTCAATGACAACCTCTGCATTGTCATTGTTCGGCCTCTCTTGCTATCTAGTAGCTCTTAGTGTGATCGGTACCAATCGTGTTCGGGTCACGAAGTTTATATATTCATAATGATTCATCAGCTACGCCTTTTTTTTATTGAGAAAAAAACATTAAGTGTTGTTGCAAAGCTTAAATTTCACCATCAACACTGTCTACTCAAAACATGCAAACATGGAGGAAGACAGGCACTGTCTGCGAGTGTTCTTTGTGTTTTTGCATTATTTTTTGCCGTCTCTTTCTCCAACTTCTTCTTCCACTTTCCCCATTTTTCTTATTATTCTATGATTCTCTCTCTTTTTTTTTTTTTTTACATTTTTTTGGTTTTTTTTCATAATCAGATATGTAATTCAAAATAAATTATTTTAATATCAAAACATAAATAATACACTAATTATCATTTCAAAAAATGAATTTTAAAATATTTTATTTTAATATTAGACGGTAACAAATTTAGTACCTAATTTCAAATCGGTCTCATTTAAGACATAAAAAACGAGAGAATTGTTCCGAATAAACTTTCTATGAACTATTAACACCTATAGAATAAGCAACCAATTTATATTATTGAGCTAATATATAAACAATTAATGGGGCTATAGGGTTTTTGTTGTATGCATTTGACCATGAACAATATTGGTTAAAAATGACTGTTACCCACCAAATAAAAAAGAAATAATTTTGATATGCAATTAAAAAAAGAAAACTCCCACAATGATTCTTTACAAAATCCACTTTCTTTGTCGTTTCCTCTACTTACAGATTCCAATAACACTCAATAATGCAACCATTTTTCATTTATGGATAAATATTTATAAAATAAAAAAGGGGTACAATTGTAAAGTGGTGTAAGAAAGGTTCTTTAATTTGAGAATTTTTCTAGTTTTTGGGCGTTTTTTTGTATTATTTTTCCCCTTCCTTTTTTTATGATCGAAGAAATTAGCAACACAGGTGGGATTGAAAGCAACTTGGGCTGTATTCCCCAAATTACCCTTCTGTTTTTTCTTTTTCTTTTTTTTTTCTTTTAGCATTTGTGTTCATGTTCGTCAAATTGTTCGTAACTTTATGGTAAAATTGCAAGTTTAGTCCATAAATTTTTCAAAAATGTCTATTTTAAGTATAAGCTCTCATGACTTTGTTTTGTACTTTCACAAAAGAACTCAAACCAATAGAGATAAAGTACAGCTTATATAGAAATTTTAGAAGTTTATATAGAAATATATACAAATTTAAAAGTCATTTCCAACACACACGAGATCGTGTCACTAATAATAAATGTCTCGAAATATACATACAAAAAGGAAAGATTCCAAATTTAATTTTGTATCTTTAAAAGAAAATCAAGGGTCTTTTTCCTTTTCCTTTTGATTAAATTAAATGATGAATAAGACTTATATTTTGACTTTGTAACCTTTGAAAGCCGACCATACACAAACTTCAAATTGCATTCATAATCATTCATTTATATCATTCTTTACACAAAATCTATGATCTATGATGATGTGTTTATATATATATATATATATACACACCGTGTTAAAATTGATTTCAAACGTGTTTTTTTTTTAAAAAAAAATTGTCACTATTTTCTATAATATTTTATGAGGAACAGAGTCGGAGACAATCGCACTGAAAGTCTTTACAGAATGAGATTGTGATAACTGGTATGTCTGTGTACTAAAGTTTTAAAAAAAAAAAAAATGTTTTTCTATATTTATTCACTTTATTTTTTAACTAAAAATTAAATAATGTAGATAATTCAAACCTTTGACGTTTTGGTTGAGAGCATATCTTATTCAGTTGAGTTATGCTCGAATTAACTATATTTCACTCAACCTTTCGATCCTATAGATAATGAAGTCGTGTATTTCATAGCATGACGGATCAATGACCTAGTAAACACTCCATCTCTTGATTAGTATTTATTGGTTGAACAAAAAAAAGTGTAGTCGGGTCAAACATGTCACATTAACTTCTACACAATGGCATGTTGAGAATACAATCAAAATGTTACAAAGTCATGTCTTCAACCAAATCAAACCATACAAACAAAAATGTCAAATGAGTGTGAATTCAAATAAAATAATTGGAAGGTGAACCACCAAAAACCATTATTATGTGTCATTTTAGTCCTCACCATCATGTCACGGAGTTGGTGAAGAAACCTCTATTTATATATATATACACACATCACACCTGTCCACGGAGCAGGCGGAGATGAGAAAGACTTCTCCGCCACTTATTTCATTTTCATCCCCACAAAAATTTTCATTTATTTTTGCAGGGATCGAGAGGGAGAACTCCATACGAGAGATTTGTAGAAAATGGGTTTGGAGAATATATATTTGGTGTGTTGTAAATAATATTTATATTAAGATAGGCAGGGACGGGGACAGAGACGGGGACGGGGAATATAATCCCGTTCCTGACCCCATTTATCTAATGGGGAAAAATATTCTCCACTCCCTCCCCCATTCCCGGTCTAATTTCCCACAAGGCCGTTGTCTCGTATGTAACATCTAATTTAGTTTTTATTCTTTTTAAAATTTAAAAATACATGAAAAGTGTTTATTTTTAATTTAAATAGGCATCGGAACGTATTAGAACAATTGGGCCGAACTATAACAACTTTGAGCCCAAAAAGTTGCCATCCTGAGAAAGATTCGGCCCAAAAAGGCTCCACGGGTGCCATCCTTTTTTTTTTTTTATTAATCTATAATATATATATATATAGTATGATTAATTCATTTCAAATCATTATATTATCCTATCCTATAATACTATCGAGTCGACTCGATGTTAATTTATAAGAGAATGAATATCATATTCAACAAAGAATAATCATCCTTACTGGTTACAATCACACTCTTACAATAGCGGGATAGCAATTGTGCAGCACTCGTTCTAACTAAGTGAACAAGTCAGTCATGAAAAATTTAGAGGTCGAAATAAGGTCCATATATGTTCAGGTCTTGAGTCAGATTTATAAAATGTGAGTGAAGAAATATATTTGAAATACTGAGAATTTAAATAAATAAAATTAATAAAAGAGAGAAGGAGCTCGTAACACTCATCCTTGTCTTCATCTGCACGAAACAATCTGAAACTAAACAAACCTCAGAATACAGAAATGGCGGCTGTCGGAATTGCTTCTGCAAACCAAGGAAGCCATTCCTTTCTCCCGTCCTCTCCCATCGTTTTCCGATATATAAAATCTTCCCATATTCCGATTCCCTTTCCCAAATCCTTTCATAATATAACAAAACTACCCATGGCTTTGAGCCCACCTCCCCACACAACCAACGACCGCCGCCATGCCAGAACCTTCCACCTCTACTGGTGCCACCAATGCCATCGGACCGTCACCCTCGCCTCCGCAGAACCGTCGGACCTCACATGCCCACGCTGTTTCGGCCACTTCGTTGAAGAGGTCCACCTCCCCCTCCCCGAACTCGATCCTTCACCGGAGACTCGTTTACTCGAAGCTCTCTCACTAATGCTAGACCCACCGGTTCGTCTCTTCAATTACCGACACCCAGACCCGGACCGCCGCCGTCCACCGCTGCATAGGTTCGACGATTTTGACAGGAGATCATTTAGCGATCCGGAAGGAGACGAATGGCTGCACTGGCGAACACGACGGCGCAGTCGAAGCCTGGACGAGAGGGACAATTCCGGCCGACAACCCCCAAATCCGAACCAGTCTCGAACTGTCATAGTTCTCGGTCCCCCCGACCAGTTTCAGCCGATTCAGCCCATAATACCTCGGAGAGCCAATCCAAGAGACTACTTTACCGGGCCAAGACTCGACGAATTAATTGAAGACCTGACGCAGAACGACCGGCCAGGACCGCCGCCTGCAGGGGAGGAGGCGATCGAGAGGATACCGACGGTGAAGATAGCGGCGGAGCATCTGAAGAACGACTCGCACTGTCCAGTTTGTAAGGAGGAGTTTGAGGTGGGGGGAGAAGCAAGGGAATTGAGCTGTAAGCATATATACCATTCGGAGTGCATAGTTCCGTGGCTTCGGCTTCACAACTCTTGCCCAGTTTGTAGGCAAGAGATACCGCCATTGCCGCCGGAGAATGGAGCGGCGGGGAATTCTGAAACTGAAGTACGGATCGGGAGAGCATGTACCAGGTGGTGGAATCGGTTGGTGTCTTGGCTATTTCGGAATAGGTATAGGCAGATTAGTCCTTCAAGTCCACCGAACCGCTTCAATGCTTCTTCTCATCCAGGTGATGTCTAATTTATTTTATGGGATAAAAATTAATAAAATATCTATTAATTTTCCCATTTTTCTAAAAATAAATATCTTAAATTATTAGAAAATACCCTTTAATTTTTTCAAATTTTTATTAATACCCTCTTTAAAACTTAAAAAACAGTATTTTTATTTATTTTATTTTGGTGTACATTAAACGAACTAAGGCAATTGAATTTTCCTGTTCTACACATTGTGAAAGAAGGAGTTAATCCTCATAAGACGAACTAAGGCAATTGAATTTTCCTGTTCTACACATTGTGAAAGAAGGAGTTAATCCTCATAAGGCAGGTGGGGGTAATAGATTCTCATAAGGGAAATTAACATTTGATTAAAAAAGAACATAGCTAAAGTATAAAGTATTTCTATTCATGGGGTGGTTCATCGTACCTCTCTTCCTTAGCCCTTCTAATGCAAATAACTTGGATTTTTCTTCGTTAGGAATGTAAATACGTGAGCTCATATAAGAAGACGCTGGAAAAGACGAACATAATCATTAGATTCATTACCAGGATGAATTTGGCATGATGCCACTCCACTGCCTGCTTTCAAATAGCTTCTCATTATCTACAGTTTCAGCCAAGCACTGATAAGATGATTCGTCTCTTTGATCTGCAGAAATGGGTCTGTCTTCAAAGATAATAGCTTCCAAAATATACCATTTCTTATAGCAGATTGTGTTAGCTGAAAGCATAAACTAAAAAGATTTTCTTAAGCACTGGCAGGATGTCGTGATTTCTCCCCAATTTATACTATCTCATGCAAAAAATATTCAACGATGAGCATAAAAACATGTAAATGCACGAAGAACAATGATAATACCACACTTACTAAAGAATTTCTATGTAAATGATTGAAGGTTACTAAGTCTTTACCTTGTTGGTAGATTGAAGGTTGGCGTTAGGATGCTCATTTCTCCACATTTGCATAGGATGTTTGGGTACAGGTTTGATGTTGTTGGGAATGATGACCCTCCACACTCCACATTGGAACAATATTATCCACTTTGAGCATAAGTTTTCGTGGTTTTACTTTTGGCTTTTCTAAAAAGTCTCGTGCCAATGGAGTTAGTCTCTCTCACTTATATAACCATGATCTTCCTCTTAATTAACCAAGGTGGGACTCCAATAATTCTCAAGAATCTTCCTCTCGAACAAAGTACACCACAGAGCCTCCTCTAAGACCTTCTTCTCTTGAACCCTTGAACAGCCTCCCCTAATTGAGGCTCGACTCCTTCTCATAAACTCTTAAACAAAGTACATCCTTCACGGCTCTTGAGTCACTTTGACTACACTTTCGAGACTCACAATTTCTTTATTCGACACTTAAAGATTCTATTGACATAGTTAAGCATGACTTCTGATACCATGTTAGGAACGACCCAATTAGTATGATATTGTCTACTCTGGAAATAAGCTCTAATGACCTTACTTTTGGTTTTCCCAAAAGGCCTCGTGTCAATGAAGTCAATGTCCCTCACTTATATACCCATCATCTTCCCCTTAATTAGTTAACGTGAGACTCCAACAATCCTCGAATAACTATGGTCAGACTATCCAGTAGTTATGTAATTAAGTAGTTATGTAATCAGTGGACCATCAACTATTATTTAGCAACACACAGGTTGGCAAAATCCTAGAAAGCGGTGGGGAAAAAGAATTCGCCTATGGAAGTATGAAACGAACTTAAAAGGCAAAACTAGATATCCAGTTCTTCAGTCCTACTCTACTATGTCTCCCCTATCTTTTTGTACTGTATAGCTTATAAGCATAAGCTTCATATACTACCTGCAACTGCCTTAGACTTCTTGTCCGTAACACCATGATTTTCGAGAAATGAACCCGTGCAAGATCTAACAAAATAAAGTGAAAGAATTATCACACAGCCCGAATTTCCCTGAAAATGCTAGTTCTAACCTTAAGTTTCTTGCCCAATGCTTCCTCGGGAGCCATTCTCAGACCTCCTTTACCCAAACCAAGGCTTGCAGATAGAACTGCATGACTAAAATGCACCATGAATCATATCGCAATATAAATATATGAACATAGACTTTTTCTCTTCAGACCTAAAAAAAAAACTTAGTACGAACCACAGGCATTAGTAAAGTGTACAGACCTTATAGGAACATTTTGGCGTCTGCCAATGCAGAAACAATATAGTATCTGTTCTTTTTGTCCTGTCAATTAGTGGAAAGTATCGCAGATGTTATAAACCTACGCTGTAATATAGAACGCATTTAGAAACAGTTTGTTCAGATGTCTACCTTCAAAAACAGATTCTTACAGAGTACACCGCCCAAATTTTCAACATATTTTGCCTGATGTTGATTCAGTAGAAAATACTCTTCCGTTAGCTTGTAAGGAAATTAACATTAGAATTACCTGTGCTTCAACCGCCAGTACAGCAGGATGTTCGTATCTGAAAAAATCAATTTGAAGCTCCTATAGAGATTTATTGACTACATTAGCGAGATGTTGAGATATGATTCAAAGTATTCAAAAGGAAGATATGATTTAAAGTAGTTGAGATATGATTCAAATATTCAAACAAGAATTTTAGGATATTGTTAGTAGATTTGAATTTATCTAGATTTTGATTTACTATAAATTACTACCCTAAAAATGATACCCTTTAGGCATAATATACAACAACTATTAATTACTCCTTTTAAAATAACAAAGTACTACTCATCTTTCAGAACACACACTCACACAAAACAGAGAGATATAACTCACACCATAGAATGTCTTACTCCTGCCCTTCCACTGTTCGCCGACTCCGATGAAAGTTGAGATGGTCATCGGAGACTGGATCATGCTTTTGGAGTAGAGCACCTGCGGTATGACGTATCCTCTTTAGAGATATAACTATAAACATATACAAAAATAATTAGGCTATTATCCAGTGTATAAACAAGCTATAAATACTGGAATTGTGTAACCCTCTAAACATCAAGTCGGTAGACAATAATAAAGCACGGCAACATTCATCTATTCTATCTATTCTTTTTTATTCTTATCTATTCTTATCTATTCTTATCTCTTTCACTCTCCTTTATTCCAACAATTTTGGTATCAGAGCCAAGTTCGTTCGACACGAGGGCGAGTGATTATTTTCTTTCACAAAACAAAAAATGACAATAGCTGGTTTTTTCTTTCTTTGCACTTTTGTTACCAATCTTTAATGGTGAGAAAGATGAGTGGTGGACCATCAAGATGAAGACCTTGCTCAGATCGCAGGAGCTATGGGACTTGGTGGAGCACGGATTTGTTGATATATCAGAACCCACAATTGAAGAAAAGGAGAGACTAAGCGAAACCAAAAAAAATGATGTCAACGCTCTGTTCATTATTCAAAGCAATTTATGAGACTATTTTTTCACGAATTGCAGCAGCAACCACATCAAAGCAAGCATGGTCAATTCTGCCGAATGAGTTTCAGGGAAATTCAAAAATCATAACAGTGAAATTGCAATCTCTAAGACCGTGATTTTTGAAACTCTACTCATGACGAATGGCGAATCAATTGCTGATTTTTTGTCAATAGTCAGTCAGATGCGTACCTATGGAGAGAAAATTTCAAACGAAACAATTGTTGCAAAGGTATTGAGAAGCTTGGCTCCAAAGTTTGACCATATGGTGGCTGCCATAGAAGAAGCTAAGGATCTATCCATACTCTCCGTTGATGAAATGATGGGATCGCTTGAGCTCATGAGGCAAGAATCAATAGAGCATCAGAAAGAAACGGAGAAAAGACACTACAGGTGAAGGAGACAACCGTTGATGAACTGATGGGATCGCTTCAGGCCCATGAGGCAAGAATCAATAGAGCATCAGAAAGAACAAAGAAAAGGCACTACAAGTGAAGAGACAACCAACAACGAAAGAGAAAATATTCATTTAGCAGGTAGAAGTCATGGAAGAGGAGAATTTCGCAGCTTCCTTGGTAGTCGTGATAAGAGGGGTCGATGGAGAAGTGATGGACAGAGACAATTCAATGAACAAAGGAATGTCATATAATGTTACCATTGCAGAAGGTATGGGCACACAAAATCTAATTGTTAGGTGAATTTTACAGCAGAGAATGAAGAAGAGAAAAAAAGTTGCTTATGGCGTGATACTAATCCAAAAAAGGGTGACTTATGGTTTGTTGATAGCGGATGCTCGAACCATATGACATGCACCAAATCTTTATTCAAAGAGCTTAATGAGACGCAAAAAATTAAGGTGCAACTTGAAAACACGAAAGAGATGCAAGTTGAGGGAAAAGGTACAGTGAAAGTCGAAACCAGTCATGGTAAGATAAAACAATTAGATAATGTTCAATTTGTACCTAATTTAAGGTATAATTTATTGAGTGTTGGACAATTGATGACCAGAGGACATTCAGTTCTATTTGAGATGACAACACATGTATCATTACACATAAGAAATCCAGCCATAAAGTTCAAATTGACATGACTCTAAATAAGATCTTTCCACCTGATATTTCTAACCTTGGATGATTTTAAATAAGATCTTTCGGTTTTGGTAAGAAACAAAACCGAAAATCAAATAAACATAATCTAGTCATCAGATATCAATCTGGAAACGATGAACAATGAAGCAAACAAGTTCACTCCCTAATCTAGAGGAAATCACTGAGTCGTCGTACAAACTAATCTGCCGCTCTGTTCCAGAGCTAATCCAAGCAAGTGATTATAACGCCAATACCAAAGAAATGAGAATGATCGGAGTTCTACAAAAACTCTACAACAGGCTTCTAACGTTCGATCGGGAGAAAAGAACAACGCTCTCAAGTTCAGCACGAGGCATAAACTTAAGCCATGGAAATTGATAGAAATAGAACGAAAAAGAGCGAAAATCAAGTACCTGCAACATCGAAAGTAACTCTTCCCTGGTGACAACCTCCTCCGCCATACTGAAGGAGAAAGCTCAAATTCAGAGCAAAGAAGTACGCCGGAGAGAGTAGGCCTTGAGGATGAAAGATTACACCAAGATGAAACACCTGAGGAAATCCAAACTCAACAACCAGACTGGTACGAATCCATGTCGCAATCGCTGATTTAGCTCCCCCTTGCTTTCTTGGACCAACGGACCAAATCGATCCACAGCCGAAACCCAAATTTAGCCCGACCGAGTCAAACCCCGGCCCATCACAATTTTCAGATAATTCTAAAATTTATCCATAATCTTTTAAAATTCTTAATTAATCCCCATATTTAAAACAAAATATGTTAAATTTTTTAAAGGGTAATTATAGTCTAAATACTTATATTTTTTTTATAAATAATAATTTAATTATAATTGTCAGACGAACACGACTCTTCACAATAGTATGATATTATTTACTAATTCCACAAAAGACATCACATCAATGAAAAGTGTATTCTTTGATTATAAAACTATGATCATTCCCTAAATTAACAGACGTGAAATTTTCCTCATCCAACAATAATATTAATAAAATTTAACGTACCCGCAGAAATAAAAATAAAATTGAAATATATAAAAGAATTGAATGGTGGTTGAAATTTGCATAGGGCCAATGGGGTCCTAAAAGATCTTATAAATTAGTTTGTTTTGTTGAGGAAGAAGCACCATGGTCCGTGAGGCTACCCAACACGGTCCAAATGCAATGTAGCACAAACGGTCCAGGATGGGACTCACCCATTTATTTAATTTAAGTCGGTTTGTTTCTTTTTTTATAAATATTTTTACCTTTTTTTATATATATAATTATATTTTAAAAAAAAATTAGTGTATTATTTGACAAAATATAAGTTTTTTTTTTTTTATTAATTTAGTTTATTATTATTGAATATTCGTTGGAAAATGACATAGATATTAAACCCACACAGTGAGGGAATATAACAAAATGGAATTTAAGCCACAGCTTGCAACAAATCGGCACTGAACTTAATTAATAGGCAGAGAGCGACGGTCGTAGGCGACCACACCCATATCTATCCATCTACCCATCTACGTAACACAAAAGATTCGAGACATATCTGCAACTATAAAATGTCACTTTATTGTTACGATCACGTGTACCTATTTTTTATTTATAAGAGTGAAAACTATCTTCATAGACTAACACAAATTTGATGTTTTGTCTTCACTACACGTAACCATAATTTTACAAGAATTTCTTGGTTTCCCTCCTCGACTCTCCACAAATACTCTCCGAAAATCCCGAAAATCAACATCTTCCTTTGCACCTTTTTGCATGATCGTGGTTGTAGCTCTTTTGGTGCATTTGATTTTACTTCGATGAATAAATTTTATTATTTAAAAATAATAATTAAATGCATTGAAACGTATTTAAAATTTTATAATTTTATTATTTTAAATTATAGACTTAAATAAATTTAATCGGATGATTATTTTTTTGGATTGCAGGTGGAAAAATGTTGAATAGTAAGCTATTATATAAAATTATACATAAAGAAATGTTTTTTTTTAATTCAAATAAATAAGAAAAAAATAATTAAAATTTATAAATATATTTATCTATTTATATAAAAAAAAATCATGAGGAAAATTTATGAATGATTTTTTATTTATATCAAACTCGTAAAAAGAAAAAAGAAACATGACGTCATTATAAAGGTAGCATTATTTCTAAAAGAATTTTGAAAATTATTAATCCATTTAGTTAATTTTCCGAAATTAAGGAGACAGACTTCGTAAACGATAAAAAAATCTTTCAATCAATCATATATATTATTATTTATGACATCACCATCTACTCCTAACAAGATTTGACGTCAAAAAAACTGGAAATAATAAAGCTGTAATCAACATAGTTAGCTACGAAAAGAAAGCCGCAACCACATTATAACTACCCTACCCTATATAACACCCAATCAAAATTCCTTTTTTTTACAATAATAAAAAAAAATTAACTCTTTTAATATTTCCACCTATTTTCCTGAGTTCTCATGATCTTTGCTAATAATATAATTAAAATTTTAATTCATATTAATTATAATATATAATCAACAATTAATAACAAAAATTACATAATAAAACCAACTACCACAGAGATTACATTGGAAAAAAAAAGTCCAATCTCAAGTGAGTTCGTCGGTTAATCACACTAATAAAATATATATATATATTTTGGTCACTGTCAGTAATATCTTCACGTAAATTACGAAGATATTTAATTAAAAAAAGAAAAAGAAATATAATATTTGGTAAAATTAATTATCGATTTTAATTTTTTTTTTTTTTTTTTTTCAGCAGAAGCTCCACAAACTGATGTCGCATTCCTCGTCGTAAAAACCGTCAATTTCAGCCTCCGGCATTGAATCGAAATCGAACCAATCTCCGGTGATCATTTCGGTAACGTACTTCGGCGACTGAAGCGAATCAAAATAATGGCACCAAGATTCCATCTCCGCCGTCGGATTCTCAAATATGACCGACACGTCATCATCCGCTTGATCGGAAGGTGACGAAACGGTGGAGCATTGGGGAGTAACAACGGCAGAGACATTTTCCGGGAAGCCATTAGCCGCAGCAGCCGCCACACGTTGGATGGATTTAGGAGACATAATATCATCGGAGGAATCAATGTGATGATGTAAACGACGGAAGTGACAGTAATCGGAAACGGGAACGGAGTTAGCAACTTCGGGGAAGTTAAGACTGGTGGAGGCGGAGGTGCCTTTGAGACATAAAAGTGCCGCGTCGTATGCACGCGCCGCGGCTTCCGCCGTCGAATAAGACCCTAACCAAATTCTTGTCTTTTGATTTGGCGCTCGAATTTCGGAAACCCATGAGCCCCAGCTTCGCATTCTGACACCCTTGTACTTTTTCTTTGACGGCGGTAACGCCGGAGAGGATCCCGCCGCCGTGTTCTCAACCTTCTTCACCATTGACTACGGATTTCAGTGGTTATTGAATTGAAAGAGAAGGACAGGAGGCGGAGATTTATATATAGAAGAAGTGTGGATCTAATAGGCTTATCTGATCTGTTAGTCAATCAAAGGAAAGCATGGCGCTCTTACTCTACACATGCAAGAATGGGGGACAGATGTTTTTTTTTTTTTTTTTTTTTTTTAATAGCATTTAATATTAATGTAGCTGTGATGAAATTACCATTTTGTCCTTATAATGTATTGAATTGAATTGGTCAAAAATGTGATTTTATTATTTTCGGATGTATATTGTCTGTCTATCATTTTCATTTCCCAAACATTACATCCCTTCTTTCCTAATATATAAATATTTCATTTAAATCATATTTTTGGTCTTTTATTTATTTTTGGATAAATATTAAGTATCTCCCATATTCTTTTAATTAAAACCCTAAATTACCCCTAAATTTTATGAATTATATCAATTAAAACCATATATTTTCATAAATTAATCTATTTAATCTTTTATTAAATTGTCATTTTAAAACTACCACTAAATAACAATTAAAATTCTAAAATTTCATAAATTAATTCATTTAACCTCCATTAAATTATCTTAAACTTTCATGGTTTTTTTTTATAATATATTTTTAAAATCTTAAATTTTTATAAATTAGTCAATTTAGCCGCCCATTAAACTTTTTTTTTTTTTTTTTTTTTTTTATAATTACCTCTAAATTTTTCGTAAATTAATTCATTTAGCCCTCCTTTAAATTAATATTTTATAATTACCCTTACCCTTAAATTTTTTAGAGATATATCAATTTAAACCCTAAATTTTTTGTGAATTTACCAATTTACCCCTCCGTTTAGAAAACTACCTCTAAACTTAATTAAAAACCTAAACTACCCCCAAAACTAACTCTTTTACTTATTATTTGTTATTTAACAGTAACACATAAGCCTCCCCAATCAAACCAACTCCCAATTAATTAACCAAGTTTAAATTTTAGGGGGGCAGAAAGGTAATTTCAAGCTACATTGAGCGACGTACATTATATTTAATAAAAAATGATGCGGTACAAACATGAGAAATAAAGATAAAAAAGAGACAAAATTGTATGATAATAATAGTACCAAATAGGCAGCTTCCGAGATTTTGCACTCCCAGATCTTCATTAATGCAAAATCTTCCTAACCTAACTTTTTTTTTTTTCTTTCTTTTTTTAAATTATTTTTTTTATTTATTTTGAAGTCGTAAAATGACCAATATTTAAATTTAATTTCTAATTAGTCCTAGTGTCGATTTTAAAACACAAATTAGGACCGTAAAATTTGACGTATTAAACAAATTAAATAATTTTAAAAAAAAAAACACAGTTTAAAAGTGGAATTACGAACTTACCCTTCAAACTTTTCATTTTGTCCTCTAATTTTGAAAAAAAAAAAATCGGTAGCAACTATCATGGTTGTACTTCTCTCAACCGTGTAGTGTCGTGATCTTGACACGCTTACGATAAACCTTTCAGAGGAAACTCAAGTCATATTCACATTTTTTCGTCCGACTTTGTGGCTTCGTCGAATCCGAGCTTGTTTAGCCACACGTCATTCGTGCGTGCATGTGTCAATCGTTGCAACACAATATGTCGCATCTCATTGTCATCTCGATTTTCAACAACACGATCCACGCACGCACTGTGATGTCATCCATGTCTTGAGATACATCAATCATCTAAATTTGCTCAAACGCATTCATTGGGAACTAACCCATGTGTCGAAGGTTGGATTATACACCCACTATCCATACCATACATAATTTCACAGCTAGTTTTGAATAAAAACGGTTAATAATTTATTTTATAAATATTCACTCACAATCTAAATAGTTTAAAATAAGTTGGAATTTTAATTTTTTTTTAATTAATTTAGCTAAAATTGAAATTAAAGCCAAATATGTAGTTTATTCCCATATAAATTATAATTGGATAAGGAAAAGAAAAAAAATAAATAAAAAGATTAATGAAATAGAAAGACGCGGAGTCTGATGAAGCTATACAGCTGGTGCTCCACTGTCAGCTGAAAACGCGTTTTACAATATCACTTATCTACTAGTAATTTTATTTTATTTTATTTTATTTTATTTTATTAAATTTGAAATTGATTTTATAAATATTAAAAGAAAAAATACAGAAAAATGACGTCTCAACTGTTTTTTTAAACGGTTTAGGTTGGAATGACTTGACTTTATTACCCCTACATATTTCATAATAAATGGTGTGTGGCCAATTTGTGAATTTCCGATTCTGATGGGTACGTACGGCCAATCAAAAATAAATAACCTCTTTATTTATTGTTATTATATTGTTTTCCAGGGGTTTTTTACCAAATATATATAAATTCGAGGACCAGAAAGCAAAAAATAAAAAAACTTTCCAAGTAGGGCCAGCGGGATGGAAATTTGCCTTACACCTTCTACTTTTCACTCCCAGATATTCTAACATAATTTAATAAATAAATTTGTTAATATTTAATTGTTTTATTTAAAAATATGATTATTGATTATTTCACGTAAAATAAAACTAAAAAATAACCTTTGCCTAACTCTTTATTTTCGAGTTGAGTTTGATTCAATCGTATAATTATTTTTTAAAATTATTTAAAAAATTCATACTTATTAATATTATATATCGTACTAACTATTAAAATCCCATAAAATTACTATATAAATATTTATAAATGATAATAAATATTAAATATTTTTAATATTTGTAATAATTTAAATCGTATGGTTTAAAAAAATCTTATTAGCATTATATATCATATTAACTATTAAAATTTTATAAAAATCGTATATAAACATTTATAAATAATAATGAAAATATTAATATTGGTTATAAATATTAAATATTTTTAATATACGTAACATTTTTAAAAGTTGAATTGTAACCGTGAGACTCAAATTTTTAATTTTTTAAAATTTTATTTAAAAAAAAAATAGATTTTTTAAAATTGAGTTATTGACATTTTTAACAAAAATCTAAATTATAAACGTTTTATTTACCGTTAAAAAAGTTTATATTATATTAAAAAAAAAAATACTGCCGACTTTTTATTGACTAGAAATCTGGAGGTCACTCAGTGTACCCTCAAGTTACGATATGAAATCCAAGCCAGCTGTCATATCTTAATCGAATAATATACCATTAAATAAATAAATAAAATATATTTATCTGAAAATAAATGTTTTTGTTTTCCCCAAAACAGTACACAAGTGAAACAAATGGTATCTCATGTCCGTACAAATTACCTCAAAATTAAACAAATTTACATTAAATAATAAACTGAATTTTAATTCCCAAACCCCAATTATAATATTTTCCAAATATGATTTTAACTTAATTATTTGATGTTCAAATTCCAATAAATGTTGTCGCATCAAAATTAATTTTTTTGTTCGTGCGAAATTATTTTAAAAAATAATTAATTGAATATTGAAAATTAACTTTGATTCGCTTTTGCATGTGGTGTTTTTTCGTACTCGGCTAATCAAAATAGGATTTTTTTGTTGTGTCGAGTTCGGAGTTCGGTGGAAGTTTCCTTTCTCGTAATGTGAATAAATTTAATATTTGTTTCTTTTTTAATTTCCTCCCTTCAAAATTTAAAAACAATCATAATTAAATCCATTACGGTTAGATATTGTTCTCTGTGTTTATTAGGTAGATGTTTGTGTTAGATGAACACGACTCTCTACAATAATATGATATTGTTTACTTAGTACGTCTCCCCTTAATCGAGCCTCGACTCTTTTTTCTTTTTGAATTCTTTGTTCGACATTTGAGGATTCTATTGGCATGACTAAGTTTAGGGTATGACTCTGATACCATGTTAGACGAACACGACTCTCCACAATGGTATAATATTATCCACTTTGAGCATAAGTGCTTCGGGCTTTGTTGTGAAAGGCCTCATACCAATGGAATAGTATTCATTGATTATAAATCCATAATCATTTTCTATATTAGCCGATATGGAACTTACATCATCCAACAAATGTAGGATCTCGCGTATATTATTAAAAATATGAAAATAAAATAGGGAGTAAATTGGAGGGTTGGAGGGTTTGTGTAAGGCTCTTATTAACTGGCACTCTGCCACCGTACCTGCCCTCCGTACTCCTCATTCATTGATATCTCTATTCACATGACCCTTTCTACATTCCCAGGACCCTCTTTTTATTTTTATTTTTATTTTTATTTTTAAATAAAAGGTTTAATTATATTTTTTATTCTTAATTTTTTTAATTATATTTATTTAGTTTAAAAAAATAAAAAATTATATAGTATTTTTATTTATTTATTATTTTACGAAATTTCTAGGAAGTAGAGAAATAAGCAATTAATTAACCGTAATTGAGCAAGATCCACTTGCTTTTATGGCGGATAGCTGTTTCTGTTGCCCGGTCTACGTTGTGATGACGTAATTAAAGTGATTTATTATTTTTATTATTTAATTGCACATAAAAATTTAATTGGGCTTTATGGTACTAGAAAGCCCAATCTTGACAAAGCGAAGCCCAATCCGAAGATACTGTTTAAGATGGGCCTAAGCCCACGCTTAGACTACCCAAAATGGACTATTTACGGCCCAAAGACAGCTGGCAGCTTTATTCGCCCTCGTACGCGGAAAATGGACTAAGATTAAAAATTGTTCTTAAACAGACCTTTCTGATTGGGCTATTTTTCAAAATTACTCGTTACTGAAAACCATCCCTGGACAAACCAGAGGGCGAAGAACGAAACATGGCAACGCTTTACGAAGATGCCGAAGCTTGGAACACAGTAAGCCGTTTCCGGATGCTGTCAAATGTCCAATCCATGACGTCGGTAAGAAACTCCTTATCGTTGATTTCGGATTGAATTGCATGAGAGCCACGATTCATTGTAGAGACAGCTATGGAATTGTATACGAGTATAAACTTAGGTAATTTCTCAGAAATCTGTTCAGGCGTAATCGTATTGTGTGCTTTGAATTTGTGGTGATCGTTCGTATTGTTTTACTTTGTTAGTCGTAAGCTGCCGCTCTCGGAGGCGCTGTGGCTAACCATTTCGAGATTTGAAACTGTCTGTCTGATGATCTTCGCCGAGACGCCTTGGTTCTGGCAGAATACTGCTCTCGACTACGACGAAGATGATAATGCCACTTCGCCAACCATCTCTGTGATGGCATGTTGTTGCGTGTGATTGATCATTTGCCTATCTATAATTTTTGTGATTTTTCCGTTTTGATGTTCGGCGGACAAAGATGAGGTCTACTTGCGGCAAGAATCTTCCCGCGAGAAAAAGGCGAGTGGTGGATTCGGATTTTCGACCGACGAACCTGGAATCTACACGGCCTGTTCCGCGGAAGATGGCGGCAACCGCGACGGAGAGGAGAGCAACTCCCATGATATAAATAGCCTCGGTATTCTTAATATATAAAATACCGAGGTTGTTTATATTAAAACTAATAATAATAAGGATAAAGAACAATAGTAATAGCAATTAAGTCTAAAAATGTAAATTTAATTTTGGGAGCCATTTTTCTCAGCAGCTGGGGGATTCTCAATCGAAAGAATCCAATTCCACTTCCCAATCTCCGGGCAACGCGAGACTCACCTGTAAGAATGATATCTATAGCTGCTACGATAGTCACGCGACCTTCTTCTTCATAATTACTGCTCAAAGCGCAAACAGCCAGTCGGATTATGACTCCTTCGGCTTCATTCTCGTAAACGATTCTTTACTTGAAGGCCGGATGCTGTTTGTGCGATGTTCTCAAAGAAAAACTGCAGGACAACTATCTGATCGCCGGCTCCGATTCTCTCCACGATGTTGGTTTGCAGGCACTCATTTCACAGCCCTTTTCATTGTATTTGTAGTTCCTTTACTGTTATAAGCGCTTAAATTTGATATGTGATGTTTGTTTTCAAGTAGGTGAGGGATATCACTACTAACCAGAATGGGAGAGAGCTGACCAGTATGACACTCCCGTGCTCGCGAAAGTGCTCTCCGATGGCTCGGAGGTTGGTTATATTCACTCATTCTTGTGATTCTGATTAGTATGAACATGTATTTTGGCTGTTTTTGCTTATTTGGAAGGAGTGTGTCGATTCAGATTTGCGGAGCTCTTTCTGGGGCTTCTAATCTAGAATTGTGCTTATGGATTTAGAAAATGATCAAATGTTTGTGCACTGCTTGTTTTTAAATCCTTGGCTGGTGTTGTACTGAAATTCTATTTTCCAGGCACTAGATTAGTAACCCCTTGTTTTTGCATTTAACGTTGGAGTTTGAGGTTCCAATGAGTTGGTCACCTCGTCTTCTGTCCTCATTTAAGTTATTGATGACTATAATTATGAATCCTGTTGGGTCTGTGATTAATCCAACAAGGAAGGCTTTTATCAATGTACTGATAACTGTGTTCCATCTGCTTGATTCAAGTACTTTCGTCCTATTTTTTGTAATTTGTTTATTGACTGTTTTAAGTATTTTGTTTCCTAGGTTTGTCTCTTCCTATTCTTTCTTGCCATAGGCATCCGGTATAATGTGGAAATAAGCCAGTAATAGAGCGCCTAAAGTCATATTAAGTGAAGTAAGATTAAAAAAATAATAATAAAAATAAAAGGGAAATAGAAAACCTTGCAATCTAGGATTCTGAACCACTGAATAGTTCATTTCTTCAATTAAAATTTGATATGCTATCTACATAGAAGGCTTCCTCTAAAAATACGTTTCTTTGGTGTCTGAAACTGAGACAGTCCGCGTTGGTTGTCTTACTGCCTTTTAGGAATCAGTATGGGATAAAAAAGCGTTTAAATCTTAATATTCTTGTCCTGTTTTATCAAAGAAACCTACTGATTCAATATGACATGCAACAAAAGAAGTCTTCTGGGGATGGCTTTCAGCTCACTTGGATCTATCCATAATAACATTCCTGATAAACATTTATTGAATGCCAGTGAATCAAAAGAGCTTTACCGATGATGGCTTGTTGAAAGGATGATAACGTTTGAATGAACTCGATAGATTTGCATGTTTATGTAGATCTTATGAATATTAAGAATTACCTGACATCTTAAACTAAGGGATCAGGTTGGTAATATTAATCCTATATTGTTAAACATGGAGAGGCCTATTCCAATTGAAACTCCTGTGTGGAAAGGATAGACCTGAAGCAGAAGCCTCTTATACTATCAAAGTTGCACATGGTTACTTCTACTTCCATTTCCTGTGCTTAAATGTTCTGTAAACTAAGCTAGCTAAACCTACACCTTCCTGTAACTATTAGTATGAACGAATGTGATATGGGTTTCTTTCTTAGAGAGGAAAATATGAAACAAGTAAGCTATTGGGAGGGTTTTACTGTGAACTGTCAAAATCAAAATAACGAACAAGGTGGCTATATGGTAAAGAAAAACACAATTAATATGATGATGCAAGTAACATGGAGATATACGTTCTAAGTATTCTCTCATATTAGTTTCATCACTCTGTTAGTAGCAAGTTAGCATTTGGAAAGCTCTAAGTGGTGAATTTATCTCTCTCCTTAATCACCCTTTCGACCAACGGAGGTCTGTGGGTGAGATTGAGTTTGCAGCCTAAGTGGCATCTGTAAAGAAAATAAAGCAAAGATAATTTGACACAAACTGTTGAACTATTCTTTTTTGTTTTTGTTGGGATGCGAAAACTTAATAACTCTCCTTTCTGGGCATGGGGAGTTCCCTACTGAGGAGGTGCATTACTCATGTTCAATTATTCTCGTACAACTCTGTTCTAGTTTGACTGAGAGGGAATTGTTGCAAAATAGGTGTCACTTAGAGGTTTTTCCTTTTGATTGGAAAGAATAAGAGGAAAGGGCTATTATCACAAAAATCAGTTACCAAAGAAGACGAGAGATCTCCCTATAAATCAACTTACAAATATGCATCTCGATTGGCATGAATCTAAGGAAAGACTATAATCACAAAGGCTATAACTCTGCAATTTTTTAAAGTATTTCAGCAGTCCATTTACACTATGCCATCATGAGGATACTTCAATGGTTAAGACATTTCTACTTCCTTGAAGAAGTTATAGGTTCAAATCTCCACCTCCAGCTGCGTTGTAATATCGCCACTACAGTTATTAAAAGTGGGAAATATTAGTGTACTTATTTAAAGAACACTATCACTTTTTAAGACCTTTTAAGTTCAAAATTCTTCAAGTCAGATGGAGTATGCCTTTTGTTTTTCCTGACGATGTAGCTTGATATGGGGTTGTTGGTACATTTATAACCTTATTCTTTCTTCTCCAAAATTGTATGACGAATATCTCACTTACTTTACTATGTTCACTTTATCTTTCCTTTTCCTTTCACGAAGGGGGGAGTTGAAAAGTAGTTTTTATTTTACTTTATTTACAGTAATAATTTTTCATCTGATATTTTTTTTTATAATATGCTGACTTGGATAGTTATTGTTTATTCTGATACTTGTTCCTGGTCAGATTTTGAGAAAATAAATTAAACAATCTTGCAATCCCAGAAAATAAACAACAATGCAGTGTGGTTCTTAAGATTATATATATTCTATAATAGAATTCGACTACTGCACGTTCCCTTGGGATACGTTGATTATAAGATGTTGTCTCTGGACAAATGTTCGTTTTTTCTTTTAGTTTTTGTGTATTCCAGCAGACTTATATATGCCGTGCTTCTGTTTACTTGGGTTTAATGTCTTCATCTTTTTTTGCCTTCTTTTGGACTCTCTTTATATGATGCCTTACACGATTTGAGTTTGTGTTGATAGTTTAGTTTAATTTTCTTTCTCACTCTATCTTAACGTCATTCCAAAACTTTATGAACATTTTCCTACATTAAGATTATTCAGTGGATATAATATTGTCTTTTCTTGAAGTTCCTGTAAAATTTGTCATAGTTTGTTTCAATTACTTTATGGATGTTATGTAGCCTGAAAATTTTTATAGTTAAGACAACCTACTTACTTAAAGTAATCATGTGATTAGCTTCACACATGCTTATCTACAAAAGCATCTCTTTTAAATGATAGCATTCGAGATTACCATTCCTTTGATGTTTGACCTCTAACCCTCAAAAGTAGTTAGAATTCTTGTACTTGCTAATATCCCACGTGTGATAGCTGCAGATTTATAGATCTTGGTCATCTGTTTTTCTGTAATTTATTTAAGCAGTCGCATATCGTGTATTTCTAGTATCTTGTAAGAGATAGCAGCAGAGTTAGTAATCTAGGTCAGGTGTATTAATTGTACTATACACCTTTATGTATGTTGTGTTATAAACTGGTTTTATTATTTAATAGAGCTCAGGATAAACAAATGTTTATATTTTTTATGTAGAAAACTGTTCTCCTTTTTACTAGATACCGAGTAGTATTCTCAATTATTCCATTTGGGTTACTTGGCATTAGATATCCAGATGTATGTAGAGTTTATCTATCTTTATTTGCTTTTTTTTTTTTTTTTTTTTTTTCTTTTTGTCTTCCATTTCTATCTCAAGTAGTCCTTTTCAGTTAATACTTAGTTACGCAGACGGCAAGTTAGCTTATTAATCTAGTTTCTATGATTTTTGTTCATTGCTCTCTTATATTTTGGGGTCAGGAGATTTCCTTATGTTGTGTACTGTTTCCTGATGTCATGAACTAATGTGCACTAGAAACACAAAAGCAATTACAGACAATTGCTGATCCTGACTCATTGCTCACTGATGGATGTGGATTCCTTTTTTTGTATTATTGTTCATCTTTTGGCCCAATTTTCATTCAAGGAAGCTTGCTTTCAATTGATGGAATTCTCTTCAACACCAGTGCGACGTGTCAATTGAAGAAAATTGATGCAATATTTGTGTTCGAAAGTTCTTCTTAGACTCTGGAGATATACTGTCCTTTCATCTTTCCTTTTCCTCTCTTTTGGGTGCTTTTGCTTGGCTGAACATTTTTTAGTAATGCTACACACATTGCTTCCCTTTTTCATGTGCAATTCAATTATTCTTGAATCTGAAATTCATAGAGAAACTTTGTACACTTGTTATTAAAATTCTGATCTCCACAGGCTGTAATGTAATAGAAAAAAAGGAGTTATAAATACTTTATTCCATCAACTTGAGATAAAAAAAACAAGGACCATTGATGCATCGTGTGGCTTCTTTTCTTCACCAAAAGAAATTTATGTCGTTTTCACTTTCTAATATACCATGTTTGACCATATTTCTCTTTGCATGAAATTATTGACCATCATTATCATAATGTGTTCAAATACGCCATCGATTCCCACTCTTTCTTTCATTTATTTTTCTTTTAGTGAAAGTGAAAAGTCGTCCATTTATGCTTCAGAAAGGGTTTGCAAAAGAAGGTAGAAGGCCGTGGAGGGGAAAAAGGGCTGAAAAGTAGAGATTTTGACCTGGTCAAAAGTTGCAAACATGAACAAACACAGCATTCGTTTGAAGGTTTTGTAGGTTTCTTATCTCCACATGATTACCAGAGTTCCAAACTTGTAAGTTAACTCGATCTCTTCTGGGTTCATTGCAAAAACCTCTCTTTTGTAATAATTGATCTGTTCTTATATTGTGACAGATCAAAAAAGAAAAGGCCCTGATAGTTCTGTTCATGAAGGGGAGGATCATTCATTTACCCGACTTCCCCGGCCGACCACACGATCTGTTTTGGTAAACCTCAAATTTGACTGTTAGATTCTGTTTGTTCTTTATGATTGCTTGATTGATGATTCTGAATCTCCCAATGGCAAATGAATCTCCTGTACTCTTTTTGAAATCTGATTCAAGATTTACCTTGCCACACTCAAGCTAGGCTGTTTTGCTTTCCTCCTTTATTGCACCTCTGACTGGCTTTACCGTGTCAATCAATCACCAAACACTTGCTGCCAAAACAAAGGCGCCTTTTGTATTGCAATGACAAGGTTTGGTTTGATTTATTTTATAATGGCTCAAGCCCATTACTAGTAGATATTATCCTTAAAGTTTTTAAAATACGTTTGTTAGGTGAGGTTTCCACACCCTTATAAAGAATACTTCATTCTTCTCTTCAACCGTAGTGTGATCTCACCCAATTTTGGAGCTCAGCGTCCTCGCTCGCACTCGTTCCTCTCTCCAATTCATGTGAGATCTCACAATCCACTTCACTTCGGGGCCTAGTGTCCTTGCTGACACTCGTTCCTCTCTCCAATCGATGTGGGATCTCACATCTTTGATCCCTACACCAAACAAACTCCAATTCCTTTTCTATTTCCTTTTGAGAAAAGGATGAACAAACTTTATATGAATGGGGTCTCTTGCTTTGGAGTTGTTATTTCTTGTTTTACACAATCAAAGTGCCCAATAATTAGATTAGATTCCTTTAGTAGCACTTGGGATTTGTAATTTAATGGCAAACTTATTTTCATACAACTTTTAATAACTCACTTTATAACAATTTCTTTCGTTCTTGATCATGTAGTGTATGTATATCTTGTTTGCCAGACCTTTCTTCAAGCTTTTCCCTTTTTATTTTTAAATATTTTTTAGGGTTTCTGATGTGTTCTTACAAAGACATCTACTTAAATTATTCATTCATGCATGACAACTGGGTCAATTGATGAATGATTTAAAGTTAGTGAATCATTTTGTTGGAATTTGGAAGTGTGAGGGGGCATTTTGAAATTGTACTTTTTTTAGGGTGGAATTGTACTTAAATAATAATCTTCTGATTTTGAAGACATGTCTCCTGGGAGAATCTCTAGGTTTCTATTATTATTATTATTATTTTAACAATTTTCTTCAAACTAGAGAATAAACGTGTAATTTAACTTAAAAATAAACTATTTGGCAAAATTTTAGTTTTTTTTCGAACTATAGAGGTCAAATATGTAATTTAACTTGAAAAAGTAAACTATTCACGAGTCGGTGTTTGAAACAATAATTAAGTCGATCAATTGGTACGAATATTTTTATTAAAATTAGGTAACAGTTGTATAATTACTTTATGTGCAAATCTTTTGGAAATTAACTCTATAATTCAAACTTTTTAATTCACTCTTTTGTCTTTTATGTATTTTTGTATATTAAACTTTAAAATAATGTTTGAAAATTATTTGGAAAGCTTCTAAACACGTTTTATTCTTATGAATTGGTATATACTTTTTAATAAATGATTTTTTAAAATCCAAATCAACTTTTGCAAACTAAAAAGTCTTTTAAAAAGTATTGTTTATTTTTAAAATTTAACCAATAATACTGAGAAGTTGTGAGGAAAAGCTTAATTTTGAAAAATTATTTTTAAAAATTAAGTAAATAATTTGCAGAAATTATTACTTTAATAATTTATCAAAATTCATAGATTTCAACCGTGAAAATCTAGCCTTTTCTAAAATTTTATTAATTTATTTCATATCGTACCTATATAATTCTATTTATAATAAATATTTATTATACAGTTAAAACTGCGACAATTATAAAATTTTTAAGGTAAAGATTGATATGATATGACAAGTTTACGAGTCAAATTTGATTTTCTCCTATTTTTAATAAAAACACACTCCAAATATCTTAAAAAGTGGAAACTTTTGTTTGTGGAATTTAGTAGCAATATAAATGCATATTTAATTATACAATGAACCTCACTCACACATCATTAGATGCATGAGCTTGTTTCAATTATTGTACTTTCCGTGGTTAATTCTTAGTTCCTAAACCTCTACTTACTTAAAAGCCAACTATTTTAAATTTCTTAATTCACTGTGTCGGGTCAAAATACAACATGTTCTTACTAATAAATGAATCTCCAATTCAAGCATAGTTCAGTGAATAAGATATTATCGACCCCCATTATGTTTTTTACCTTTTTCAAAAATACTCTCGATACTAAAATAAATAAATAAATAATCTATATTTTCCATTAAAATAAAATACGATAACCAATATGCAAAATTTAAAAGACGACAATCTTCTACCTACTCAATGTTTACACATAAATAAGAAAATATTTTATATAATTTTATGATATGACATGAAAAAATGATACTTGATTTGATATAACTATATCCAACATATATTAATCAACCAAGATTTGAATCATTTCTAGAATATTGTTTTTAAATATCCTTTATTTTATTTTATTTATATTGCTCGTATAGATAATAAAGACTCACCCCCACTTATTTTATATAAAAATAAATCCAACCACAAATAATTTTTTTTTTTTTTTTTTGCAAATGATTTAGTGACGTGGCCTCCAATTAGCCCTCTATGTGGAAAAATATGCGCCACGTCGACATAATTTCAATCCTAAAACCAAACCACACATTTGTTTTTCAATACTTTGATGACCTCACTCTTGCAAACCATAATTTACTGTGATTAATAACATTATTTTCTCCAAATTTTTATTATTAATGGGTTTATTCCTACAATAACGATTCACGAGTTTGAAAAACGATAATGAGTAAGTTCGTCTAATTTTGGTAAGTTTTTTAAAGTAAAGTTGCAACTTTTACGGTTTGAAAGACGCTTTAGTGATAGGGGACTAGGAGTAGCGGTCCTCGAAAAACTGGTCCAAACGAAAATTGTCTAGCTTAGCTTTATGCAACGTGGATCAATTCTTGAAAGAAAGACGATGTCTCGAGATCATTGAATTTATTCGATCAAATTACGAAAATCAATTTGATTTTGTAGTTCAGTTTTAATTTTCGTGATTAAAACTAAAAATAAAATAAAGATTAAAAAAAAAAAAGATAAAATGATTGGTAATAAATATCTTACAATTTTTTTAATTAAAAAAAGTCATTAATTATATATTTTTAATAAATAAATAAATAATCTCCCAACAAAATCTCTAACTACTCTTTTAACCTGATTTATTTTTATTTAATAAAATATATTAATCATTGAAATTAGTCAAATATAAACTAATAAAAATTTAATCTCTTAATAAAGTAAGCATAAATATTCTAATATTTCCTTTTTTTTTTTTTTTTAACTATAATTGGAATGGCTTTTTTTTGGACGGAATTGCCCTCGGGCAATAATTCTGTTTATATTCGAGAGTGAATTTTGTATGACGAGGATTTCACCAACAAAAGTCGGCCACTAATTATCTAATTATTTCAAGTGTTTTTTTAATTACTTGATTTTAAGTCCATTAATTAATATTTATTTCCGTTAATGATTGGTGATTCGGATGCTACAAAAATTTAATATTATTTAATTTGTTGCTGATGTCAGTATTATTTTTTGCACTTAGGAATTTAAATTCAAAAAAATACTATAAGAATACATTAAAATAATCAAACCTATTAAAATTTTAAATATTATTTATATTTCAAAGTTAATTTAAATATGGTATACACAGATCATAATACGAAAATAAAAATAAGGAAAACTCTCTGTACTAGTAACTGACTCGAGAACTCGACCAATCCAACTCTCTAAACCAAACCATAAAAGATTGGGTTTGCAGATTGACACTTTTTGGTCAGGTTAACCGAACCTTACTATACTTTTAAGATTATTATGAAAATGAAAAAATATTTGATTTTTGAGTTTGATGAGGTTTATTAAATAACTATATAAAAAAAATTTGACAATCTGGGTTGGGTTTTAACTCTATTCGAGTTGTTCGGGTTATCAACCAAACAAATCCAAAATTTTGGGTTAGTCCAAAAAAACTTCCCAACCGAACTGAACCTGTGTACAACCCTACTCTTTACACTTATCATACATTAACAATATATATATATATAATATGAGTTAGCATGTCGTAAATTTAGAAGCCAAAATATATCATCCAAGCTATACAAAACGATTACAGTATAATTAATTAAACACGATCGGTTATCACTATCTACCTTCTAAAGAACAGCATTAGATTCCAGGCATCACCTCTCGTTCGTTATCAAATATATTCGAGATTTATTAAGTAATGGAAACACGTTTAAGAATAAAAGGACACACAAATCTTGGATTTATTCAACCTAATCGGAATAATTTGTATGGATTAGTGAATTATATACCTTCATTGCCTATTTGTATTGAATCTTTATAACAATAGTGCTGTCCACTCTTCAAACACATATGAAGAATTAAATACCCAAAAATTTAAAAATTAATAATAATAAATAAATAAATAAAATAAATAAATAAAAATTCCACACAAACTAATTAATGGGTCATTTGCTAGAGAGCACTAACCCAACCCAGTTGTTATCCTTTATTACATGAATCAATTTTCCACTTCATAAATAAAATAATAATTATTTTCTTTTCTTCATATAAATCCAAATATTAGCTCAGCTTTTTACATTCCCACTCAAAAAAAAAAAAAAAAAAAAAAAAAAAAAAAAAAAAAAAAAAAAAAAAAAAAAAAAAAAAAAAAAAAAAAAAAAAAAACAGAAATTAATGGATTTGATATTGCCACAGTGTTAGCCTTGCAATTTGCATAATGTTTTTCCAAGTGGATAATAGAAATAATTATTTAAAAAATAATTATTAAAAATAAAAAAAGCCAAATTATTACGTTAGTGCTTTGCCTTTTTCTGAGCTATATAAGAAGCCTACCTTTCATCCTTTCTTCACCACCCTCATACCCTTCAATCTAGAGAGACAGAGACAGAGACAGCCATGGGTGCTGACACTGCCCTTGCAATGTTTTGTGGTCTCATTCATAAAATTAAACCCTACTTAGCTATGATCTCCTTGCAATTCGGCTACGCCGGGATGTACATCGTTACCATGCTTTGTTTCAAAAAGGGTATGAACCATTACGTTCTTGCTGTGTATCGACACGTCGTTGCTACCGTTGTCATTGCTCCATTCGCTTTCGTCCTCGAAAGGTTCGAAAACTGTTGTGGATTTTGAATTTGGAGTAACTGGTTACCGTTACAATTACGGTTACGCTCTAACTCGGGTTTTTTTCTTTTTTCTTTTTTCTTTAGGAAAATAAGGCCAAAGATGACATTCCCGATCTTCGCTCGGATATTGGCCCTCGGCTTTCTCGAGTAATGATCACATGCATGGATTTATACGTTTTTATTCGGAGGAATTAAAGTTTTTTTTTTTTTTTAATTATGTTTTTTTTAATGAGAACAGGCCTGTGTTGGATCAAAATTTGTACTATGTGGGTCTGAAACTTACCTCAGCAACATTCACCTCTGTCACCATCAATATTCTTCCTGCTGTTACCTTCATTATGGCTCTCATTTTCAGGTGTTTTTTTACTGTTCATTTTCCTTAATTTTGGATTTCTTGTCTATTTTCCGCATCCCATTTTTCCTTCATAATATATATTTATTGTCGGTTGTGTTTGATTATTCACTGATCCATTACTGTTAAATCTTTAGTAGGTTAAAATGGAATTACCTTACCGCTACATAATTAACTAAAATTTTCACCTATTTATTTATTATATTATTTGTTTCCCTTGGACTAACCATTAGTGTGAGATCCGTTCGAGAAACGAACGAGTGACAATGAGCACGCTAGGCTTCAAAGGAGGTGGATTGTGAGATCCCATGTTGGTTTGAGAGAAAAACGAAACATTCTTTGTAAAAATGTGGAAATCTCTCTCCGACCGACCGGTTTTCAAAACCTCGATAGAAAGCCCATAAGGAAAAAACTAAAGAGGACAATATCGGCGGCTGGTGGGGTTAGACATCTCTCTTCAACTGACCCATTTTAAAAACCTTGAGAGGAACCTCAACGAAAAAATCAAAGAATACAATATCGGTTGTCGGTGCGCTTGGGCATTTCTCTTTAGCCAACGTGTTTTAAAAAACTTAAGAGGAAACCAAAATGGAAAATTCAAATATAACAATATATACTTAAAAACTACTATTTTTAATTTTAAATATTTTGAAAATATTTGTCTGAATAACTATTTTATTAAATTTTATTTAACTAATTTTTTCAATTTTTAAAATGTATTGAAAATAATTTATTGAATTTTGTGAATCAGGCTAGAAAGAGTGAACTTCAAGAAGGTTCGTAGCATTGCGAAGGTGGTCGGAACATTGGTGACGATCGGCGGAGCAATGGTGATGACTCTATACAAAGGACCCATCGTCGACATCTTCCACGGCCAAGGACGCCACGCCGCCCACCAAAGCAGCGGCAGCGAATCCTCCGACCAGCACTGGGTCCTCGGCACTCTCATGCTCCTCGGCAGCATCGTCGGTTGGTCCGGCTTCTTCATCTTGCAAGTAATTCTCGAAAATTCTCTATTTATAATCACAAAAGATATTAAAAAATATTTATCTATAATAAAAAATTAAATATAATAATTCCTGACTGTGGCGACCCTGTTTTTAGTCGTTCACACTGAAGAAATATCCAGCGGAGCTATCGTTGACCGCCTTGATATGTGTTGCCGGCACGGTTGAGGGCTCCATTGTTACCCTTATTATGGAGCGCGACTTGAGCGTCTGGGTCATCGGCTGGGACTCTCGGCTTCTCGCCGCCGTTTATACCGTAAGCCAAAACTAAATAAATAATTCTACTTTTATTTATTTAAATAATTAATTAAACAAATATATAAATTTTTTAGGGTGTGATATGCTCTGGACTAGCATATTACATACAAGGCGTGGTAATTCGTGAACGTGGCCCTGTTTTTGTTACCTCTTTTACCCCTCTCTGTATGATTATTACCGCCATCCTTGGCTCCATTGTTTTGGCCGAGCAAATTCACCTCGGAAGGTAACTTTTTTCTTACCTTCCCATAATTAATAATAATTTAGTTTTTTAAAATTAAATTTATAATGAATTTTTAAATATTTAAATTTGCAGCATAATCGGAGCCATTTTCATAGTGATGGGATTATACTTAGTGGTATGGGGCAAAGCCAAGGACCATATAAACAAACCGACGAACCAAAAAAGTGGCGCCGCCACCGAATTACCGATCACCGCCGAGCCGGAGACAACCACCACCGCCGTCGCCGCCGAGCGTTGCTCTTCCAAGGCTCCACCGGCGTGATCATTGTGAGAGCTGTCGAATCATGAAGAAATGAAAGAGGCGGCCCATTTTTATTTTGTCAACTTTTTGGTTTTTCGTTTATTTTAATTTTCTCATTGGCATCTTAATATAATATAAATGTTGGGGTGTTTTTCGTCTTTTTCCTTTTTTTTTTTTTTTTTTGGGGGGTTTAAAATTTANTTTTTTTTTTTTTTTTTTTTTTTTTGGGTGGGTTTAAAATTTAAATATATATATAAATGTACGAGTTTTGGCTCGTATTCTCTCTTTGTAATATGTAGAAAATATGGGGCTTCGAGTTTATTACGATGATGTTTATAAAGATCGTGTAATTCTACATATATTTTGTTGCGTTTTTTTTTTCTAATTTTAAATAAAGAAATTACATTATTAATTTAATAAAATTGGTCGTATTTTCAATCCACGAGACGGTGTAACTAAGTCGAACAAAAAATTTGTAGGAGATTATTACTTTTTATCTATTTTTGTTCAACTTTTAGAGACGTTATTGATAGGTTTTTAATCATGTGGGAGAAGTAAAAAGCTCGTAGGGACAAGCTCACCACTCCCTATCTTTCTATTTAACCTATGGAAAGACCGACACCTGGTTTATCATATATGGTAAGCAAAAAGCTTGTTTGGGCTCACTCATCTCTATCTTTTCATTCAATTTCTGGAGACTACCGTCGTTAGGTCAATCATGCATGTGGAGATTATGCAAAAAGTTTACGGGGCTCACTACTACTCTATCTTTTCTTTACGTATTTTTGTCGTTTAGTTATAAATCAAAATTTTCAGATCCAGCTGGAATATAATCAGTTTCACATGAGTATACTGTTATTATCGATTGTCTTATCATTTTGGTTATTCAGGAAAATGCTCGTAGTCGTTATAAAACATAAAAGAAATCGTTTGAAAAAAAACAAAAGAAAAAAGGAAAAGGGAATGAATCCTATAACAATTTCAAAGGTGGGCATGATGAGATTCTAAAATAAAGGAGATTAAACGTGGACATGAACATTCACCATGGCTTTATTAAAGGAACTTAACATTTTTTGTCCATGAACACGACCCGAAATAAGACTCATTTTCGAGAATCTTTTAGGGTTAGCCTCTGACTTTCGAGTAAATTTCAATTGTACTCTCAAATTTTAAAGAATTTTCGTTTTTTCTTTTTTATTTCAGAAGATCGTGGTAATATAAGTAGCGCGTTACCTACGAAGGGAGAAGATCAGTTGACTTTTAACGGCAAATGTAGTTATTGTCGTCATCAGATTTTGGTTGGTTAAGGAAAAAACATGTTGGCATACTGTTTCTAGACATGGTGAAAGAGTCCATAGAATGCTATGCCTTGATCGCAAAGGCAACTAGCAGAGCCGATGCGAGGAATAGTGGGATGACGTAACTTTAAGAGAGAGAAGTGAAGTCTAAACTACTATACCACGAAAACTCCACGAGTGTATTAGTTGATTGACTGGACTGAGACTTTGATATCAATCACTTTGGTAAGAAAAAGAAAATAGCTTAAATCACAAGAGAATCAAGGTTCCTAGAAAGTTGAGAAGTAGCACGTTCCGTTCACCAGATTCTACCACTATGTCCAATCATACTTAAAATCTGAGTTTGATCATGACTCATAAGGAACGTTAGCTATATGCTCAGTATATGCAAGTCGAATGTTGCTTTCGCGGAGCTAGTTAGAAGGAAAAGAGGTTCCTAGTTAGCTGGGTTTTTTTTGTTCGAGCAAACGGTAGATAAAATTATCTATTTTTTTAAAAAAAAAAATTATTTATGGGTATTGTGTGGGACCGACTTTGTGAACTTTGGAAACCATTTGGGCTTGGGCCTTGTTTGAGTTGGGCCTATATCTTTGGTCTTGGGCTTCGAGGCAAATTCTTCCAACCCAATTACTGTGTCGGTCTTGTGTGGGACCGACATTATTTAGAGTTTTTTTTTTTGTCATATTTATTACACGAATTTGTCGTTGACTTATACGATGTTTTCATGTACTTAAAATAATGACGTGTCAGCTTGTGATTGGTTAAAGCTTCTTATTCAATATTTGAAATGTGCGAGTATGACCCAGACTAGATGAACGTTCATATATGAATGCCCTAACGAGACAACTCATTCACGCGTCTTAGTGTTAAATTTCGTTGATAGTTGTCGTTGAAAATGCTAAGTTTGTCACATTGTTGAGGTTTAAGACGTTAAAAGATGATTATTTTTCGTTGATTTCAAAGGAAAAATAAGAAAATTAGTTAATTATTTAAATCTAAACTCGTGCTAGTTTAGATAAATAAGTGATAAGAAATTCTAACTTCAACCGGAATAATGCCCATAATTCAATAAGTTTAGGAGAATATAATATTATAGAAGTGTTTATGCGACTTGAAAACTCGACCAATCTAGACTATCAAACTCAAACTATAAAGGTACGATTGGGTAAGATTTTTTTTTTTTTTTTTTTGTTTTTTAATTTGAGTTTGGTTGAACTTTTGAAAAGCGGAAAAAGTCGAGTCAAGTTGACATTTTTTTTTGTCGGGTCAAATTAACCGATTTGAAAATAGGGTTCAATCCAATCAACCTTTTACGATTATTATGAAATTAAGAATATTTAATGTTTGTACTCGTGTTTGTGATATAATTCATGAATATTTAGAATATTTAATATTTGAGATTTATAAAATTTTAATTATTAATGCATAAATCGGGTAATTATATTTTATAATAGTAATAATAAAAAAAATTAGGTTGAATTGGGTTGGGAATATTCAGGTGTTCGGGGGCCAATTGTTTTACCCTCCAATAAAAAATAGACACGTGTCATTATACACACATATAAAAGAATCATCGTCAGCGCCGGAACAAACAAGCCGATTCCCTCCAAATTTAACTTCCCTTTCCCCATCCGAGGTTCCTGCTGTACTCCGGATCACGTTTCGTTACTAACAATGCTTTAGCTCACTCTCAGAGATTCTCGACCCTAGCACCCACATTTCAGTAATCAGATCACTGACAATTAGGCGTAAATTCATGGACTGACCGGCTGAACAATCGGGGAATGCGGCGGAAGTTGGCGCCACTGAGATCGTTAAACGGTTGCACAGAAGTGTTGGCCGTCAAGAACAGGAGGAGAATGGAGTCGATCCCGAGAAGGAACAATTTCGGTGAGGATGAGGAATTCTGCGGGAGTTGGAACAAGAAGAAAAGGAAGTCGAAGGGGAAGATGACGCCTCAGTCGAGAAGTTCGAAGAAGGTGAAGTGGATTTAATTGGATAAATTACTACTCTAATTTCTTCATCGTTGTCGATAGGCCCGAGAATATTTGTAGTACGAGTAGTTCAATTAGACAAAATTACTCGATGTTTGAGATGCGAATTGAGATAATGCTGGAATTAGGTCCTGAAAGATGATATATGATACTTTTTTTTTTGGTAATTTTAAATTGACAAGGTTTGCACCTTTAAAATCGAACTATAATCATCTTCAAGATGAAATAACTGTGTTTTACGTACAGCAGGCGAAGGAAAAGCGAGCCATAAACTTGAATGAGTGTTAAAGAATCCAAAAGGTAATGACACCGCAACAACTTTGGCAGTCCTAAAGAATCCAAAAGGCAAATTGTAAGTATGTCAACGCAACTATTAGAGAAGAAAATCCAAAAGTCTATTATAGAAGACGGATGACCAATATGGTACAATGAATGAGTGTTAGTGTTGAGGGGGATGTTAAAAGATTATCAATCTTATGAGTCTATTATCTAGAAGTTTTGAATGTTCTAAAAAGATTTAGATATCTAGATATTTTAGAAATAAATCTAGACCATATTTAAATACCCTTCCACTCCACCGAGTTTTTCATCGAAGAAAAGAAAAATGCAGTAGTATCCTCTAAAGAGGGTTTTATAATCTCTTGGTCTTAATAAAGAGTATGCAATGTGGATGCTGAGAAGGAAATAGTGCTCCATCACCTCCTAAAAAGTGCAGAAATGGTATATATCATCCTGCTTTCAAGTGTTACTTTCTTTCTTTCTCTACTTGTGAAAGTTGAACTGTTTCAACTTAAACTTCACAAGTTGTAACCTGCCGATGTCTATTTTTGAGCTTATCATCTACTTCTCGTGAATTATTATAAGGATGTAACCTGAATAAAACACTTGGGTTTAGTGATTCTGCAGAAAGGCCAATTCTCGAGCATCAAAGCAGATTTCTTCAGGACAGGTTATTACTAATTATGAATGATTAAGTTCTTTGATCTCTCTTCTTGTTCCTAGAGAACCATGACTTTTATTTACATTTACCCCCTTCCTCTCAAACGCTGCCTGCCTTAATTATGATATTGAACTCTAACAGTTACGTATTTCTATTTTACACAACAATAAACTTTCTTAAAAGGAAGTTTAAAGCTCTATAACGTCGTTTAAACTTTTACACGTTGTTCTGTGTTGTGGGTTGAATTTCAGTATATTCCCCCATCTTTTCCTGCCATTTTCCTGCTTAATTTTATTGTGAACGTTTCTTTTTAACTACCGAGAGAATTAATTAATATGAGAGGTGGAAGAAGCATGCTATGCAGAGCTGTTGACCATAATTTGAAAATGCTGCGAACACTTATGGCTTCAGTGTATGATACCTCCTGCAAATGTGTGCTCATTTCAATTATTCGTTTCACGATAATAATATTCCTCCATTTAAGGATATGGGATTTTTAATATATCACTTGGTTCCTTTACTGCTCATTTAGTTGCTGCTGTCAGTTTATTACTTCCGTTGACAAGCAAACTTGAATTGTGGTCGATTCATAATTTACACGAGGAATTAGAAGTTTTAAACCTTCATAGTTCTGTAATGTCTTGGATTATATTAGTGTTGTTCGATTAATGCATCATTCATTCTTATGAATGGCTTCTTGCATTTCTAAATGTTCCAACATTCAGTGGTAGTTTTCTATAGGTATCTTTGGTGTCTAAAGAGATGATAAGCCTGAAGAATATTGTCCTCATCACGGGGTCATCTGGGGTATGCAGAAACTCACTATTATCACCTGATCTATGTTTACGTTGTTTAGATTTTGTACTTTTCATTGAAACAATGTGTCTTGTCTATGCAGTTTCTTCTTTTTAGTCTTGATGATATCTTAAAATTAAGTTGAAGCTGGTTTTGTGAAACTCTGTTGGGTTGTTTATGTTCATCGTTGTAAATACAAGTAAATAAATCATTCTTTTGGCCGTTGTATGTTTCTTTGCCATTTTATTCCACCTCCAAATCTCTTCTGAATATTTGCTACTTATATTGGTGTTAGATGGCTATGAAGGCAACTGAAAATTTGTTTTGAGGTGCAGCTGTGCCATATTTTTAGTGGAATTCGTTTTTGATTCTTGCAAATTATCATATTAGAATGGCATCTATTGTTGAATATCAAATAGTTTTTGTTTTTATTTTTTTATTGTTTCATTTGTCCTATGAATTGAATGTTTACTTGAGGAATATTTGTTATGAAGGAAAGACTAATTGAGTATGAATTTGCTGTGTGTATATGCCAATTTATCTACTCAGAATTTGCAAACTTTGCACTGTTTCTAGTTTGCTTGGAGTCTGGACTATTTTTTTTTTTTTTTTAAAAATTTGTTGCTTTTATGGATACAAAGAAATCAAGGGACTTCGATTGTTAATAACCACAGTGCTCTTTTGTTCAATCTTGATGGATGGCCTTTTTTGCAATGGATCCCTTAGTGCTGGTCTCCTCTACCCTCAGCCTGTGTAGTAACTCCATTTTTGATTGATGGATTATGAATATAAATATAAGGTATAAATATTGTTTCTTATTAAAAGAAATAAACTTGACTGTGTCTAATATATTCTTCTTCAGTTCAGTGTCAGTGCATCTGTCATTCAATCGGGAGCTGTTCTCGAGCAGATGATTGGAGAGGCTTTACAATCTCATCCGCTAAAATGGTCCGTGCTATTTAAATTTTGGCTTGGATTCTTCATGTTATAATTTCTTTCTTGAACTTTATGGCATTGCTCGTTCTGCATGTGTTTGGTTACTCCTTGAAGAGAATGGTATTAGAAAGAAAAAAAAAAATATAAATTTCGTTGCCTGGTGAATCTGTATTGCTGATTTCTCCTTCAAAAAAGAGCATCAAATTGGGACATTGTGATATTGTTCAACCAACTCAACCAACTGTAAAATTAGCTCTTTATCAAATTCTCCTTTTGGCTGGCCATAAATCTTTTTAATAATGACTGAAAAGATGATTATATTATAGGTCAGTAAAACATTTCCAGGGGTCGAGGAACAATTTTATTGGGAAGTGTTGTTCTCTTCAAGAGAGTACATCAGCCAAATGTTTAGCGACTAAGGTGATTGAACTCATCCCTTTATCAGACGATGATTCTAAAGATTACATTAAAGGTGTTGGAGAATTTGAATTCATCGCATCTGTAAGCACCAGCAACCAAGTTGAAGCTAAGCCTTTTAATTATTTTAGAGGACGTTGATATCATTTTTCTTGAGGATCCTGGTTTTGTTTCTGCAATTCAAGAGATTGCTGACACAGGAAAGGGACCCATAATTTTGACAAGCAATAGTAAGAGTGCTTACTTGTGGAATTGATTTCATTTTGTAGGAATCTTACAGTTTACAATGATTTATTCACTCTTGTTTTATCCTTGAACTATAGGTAGCAATTCTGTTCTCCCTAGTACTTTTGGATAGGCTACAGGACCACCATCAACGGAGCTACTCAGCCATTTTATATAGGGTGCGTGCTTCTGGCTCATCTACTACTTATGACATATAACTTAATTTCCATTCAGTTGATTCGTTATCGGTTCCCTTTCAGATTTGTGTTGCTGAAGGAGTCAGCAACCAACCATTCTTACTTTAAGGTATTATTCATTGTTGTCACAAAGATATACGGAAAACCATTGTGTTTCTTCAGTTCTGGTGCCAGGGTATAAGATTTAGAGGTCAGTCATGCTTTCAAAACTCACAACAAACTTTGAGGTTAATATTTTGATTTGACACCATGCACTTCAAAATGGCCACAATTGGAATGTTTGTTTGGTGTCCCTTTGACTCCAAATTCAAATAACCTCTTAATGTGAACTTTTTCGACCTAGTCTAGACTTTCCCACTCACAAAAGTAAGAGGAAAGCCTTAAGCAGACAATATAAACCTTTTTTTTTAGTCGGACAATGATGAACATTTTATGCTGAATTTACAAAACTTTGACTTTCAAGGTTATGGCTTGGAGATCCACTTCGACCTTCATTGAGGTCATCTCTCTAATACTCCTGACTGGAATGTCGCTCTATTCTTGCTTGCACTTGAGTTTGACGATTTTGCTCACTCTTTTTGGTGTGTTAGATGATGCATTATTGACACTTGCATGCCACCACCACAATTGTACACAATTTGAGTCACAAATTACTTTTTTCTTAGTATGGATGTGTGACTTAACCCACCCACAAAAATGGGTGCAGTCAAACATGCACCAACTATTACTCTCTTGAAAAATACTTCTCAGTAGACCGTTACTCACGATTTGGTTGGCATGTGGGTTGCCATTGTGAAAGAGTGGCAGAATGAACTTACAAATAAATGTTTCTTTTTTCTCTTAAATTTGGATCTTTTTTAACTTTCAAAAGTGATTTATAAACTTTCATTTCAATTTTACCTAATAGATTTTTGACATTCCATTTTTCTTTTTTTAAATTTGGTCTCTTATATAAAAATTTTAATTTGTCAATGAAATTATAAAATTTCAATTTTGTTTAAAAAAAATATCCAAGTTATAACAATAAATTTGTAATTGAATTTTGTTTGAATTAGTTATCAGCAAAATTGGCCTAAATTGAACTCTAGAATGGGGATGCATTGTACTTTGTATGGCTTCTTGTTGTAGCTAACTTAGTCAAAATCGATGTTATTTCATTGATTCTAAAAGTTAAAAGGACCTCTTACTTTCTTTCATAAATAGGTTAGGGGTGTGGGAAAGTGGAAAATGAAGGAAATTTGTAGTTTAACCAATGCATTTCATATCTGCCATGCATGTCAAGCTCTTCTTGAATCTGGACTGAATTTTGATGAACAAAAAATCCGCCCTTTGCATTAATGCCTGTCGGTGCATTAAGAAAAAGTTCCAATAAAATTAGGCTTTTCAAAAAGTAGGCCTAGTCGTGTTCCTGACGGAACTCCCCAACCATTTCTTTCAATGGGAATTGGCCATTTTTTACACTGTTAGTTGATCTCTTTGAAAGACCTTTCCCTTCCCACCCCTAATAAAGCTTTCTTGGTAATGATGGATTTTTGAAACGATTAGCAAAAGCCTTCTGAAAAAGATGCAAGACGGGTAACAGTAGAGAGAGTCTTCCCTGTCATCATCAAAATAGCCAGTTTGCGGAGTACGGTACTCTACTCTTCTTATTTGCATCGATGTTTCAGGTAATCTGTAAAAGCCACCCACCATCAGCTTCAGTGACTCCCGTGACTCAAAAAAAAATTTCTAAATCATGGCTTTGTATTTATCACTCTGTCCCATCTCAACCCATTCCATTCCAACTCTCCTTCTTTCTCTCTCTCTCTCCCCTAAAAGTAAAAAACTAAAGATTCTATATAACCAACCAACTACCATCTTCCTAGTGAAAAGGGGTTCAATTTTTAAGGCAACCAAAGGTGAAAGAGAGGCTTGAAAGAGGTGGGGTTTGAGTTTTACCCTACAAGAAAAGTTGGCTGGCTGGCAGCAAAAGAAGCTTTAAACTGAGCGACAATGGAAGGGTTTGAGAAGTACGGAAATAAGAAGAGGGTGATGGTGGTGGTAGATCATACATCGCAGTCCAAGCATGCTATGATGTGGGCTCTAACCCATGTGGCCAATAATGGTGATTTCCTCACTCTTCTTCACGTTGTTTCTCACTCAAACAAGCTCCTCTCTGAAACGCCTTCTCATTCTTCTTCCTCATCATTTCTTGCTAACTCTCTTGGCTACCTCTGCAAAGCTTCTAGACCTGAGGTATATTACTTCTGTTTTCATCCTTTAGTTAGCCTTTCATTTGCATTTTCATCTTTGGACTGAATATATGAACTGGGAAGGTTTTGGATGAACTATTATATATCCTCACAGTCCTAGTGCTTAATGGGTTTTACCTGGACCTTCTATCCTATCACCTCACTTAAAAAGTATGTGGGAAATGGGTCATATTGGGTTATCTCTAATTTAACCCATTGGTTTCCGCTCCAATGCATGTGTTAATAAATAAAATGGAGGGGAAAAGAAAGTATGGTGGCTACTAGCTAGCCCTTTCCTAGTGCTCCCCCATCATCCAGATTCGAGGGCCATCTTTGTAAATGACAAAGGAAAGGGGAAATCGAGGTGGAACCATCTTTTTAAGTATTACATCAGTGAGTTGTTGGGTTCTGTGGGTGACTTTTTCATTTTTCTGGTGCAAAAAATTTCAGGTGGAAGTTGAAGCACTGGTGATACAAGGCCCGAAACTAGAGACAATTTTGAGCCAAGTGAAGAAGCTTGAGGCATCTGTTTTGGTGGTGCCCCAGAAAAAGCCTTCTCTGTTTGGATGGTGGGTACCAACCCTTTCATTATCTTATCTTTGCCCTTTTTCATCCAAAAAAACAAAAGCAGTAAAAAGTTTGAATGGTCATGAATACTAACCTGGTCGACATGGTCATTTCTTTGCAGCTTCTGTGGGAACAGCAGCTCAGAGCAGCTTGTGGAACAGTGCATCAGCCATGCCGATTGCTGTACAATTGGAGTTAGAAAACAGATCAATGGCATGGGAGGTTACCTTATCAACACCAGGTGGCAGAAGAACTTCTGGCTTCTTGCTTAGTTGTCTCTAATCTTATCTTAACCCTGTAACTAAACGTTAGATAAGCTAGATGACCTTAGAACACTCCATCAAAGTTGGAATGATCCGAACTTCAGATCTTTCAGTCTTAACAAAATTTAATAATTCATCCATTCAGATGAACTTGAAAACTGTGATGGGTCCCAAGCAATAGAGCAAGTTCAGCATCAGAAATCTGGGAATAGTTTTATGTTTTGGTTGGAATTTGAATGAAAAGCAAGCTTAAGAACAAAATTGATTGGAACTCTAACAATAATTGACTCTATAATCAGATACGTGGGATAACTAGCAAAGAAAAAGATATTATCAGTCTCTCATTGATATGCTAAAGCTACAAACAACGATATTTGTGGCAGGGAGATAAAAAGATAGAATTATGAAGAAGAAAAAAAAATCGAAGTTCGCCTAAAGCAGGTGGACAGAACGAACAGGCCCCAGTATTCTGCTTTTGTATTTTTTAGTACTCCTTTTCTCTACTACCCGGGTGCCAACTACCAAGACTTCAACCGCAACGAAACCAATTAGACCGTATCATCCAATTTATCATTTACAAGGGGGAGCAGCTCCATCCGACTCCGAGGGGTCCGAGGTGTTCTAGGGGTTCGAGGGGTTCCGGGTGGCTGCTGTGAGATAAGATGTCTTACATAGCCATAGAATGTACAACCCAGAAGTGTAATTGCACATCCAACTGCATTTAGCATTGAAATCGGGTTTCGAAATATCGACCATGAAACAAGAACAGCAACAGCTACCTGAGCAAAATGAAAATTCAAATGAACTCATCGTAGTATTAAGAAGGGAAATTTGTGTAGGGAGAATGCAATTGTAGTGGTTTATAAGACTAATATCCATGGCAATTGTATCAAGCAGATCTTACCTTTAGGTTTCCAGCAACATTGAACGTCACAGCAGTGGTAGAATGAATCACATAAAATATGGAGAAGTTAAGACAGAAAGCCATCACCCCAGAGCTGAAAATGATGATGAGTGACGAGGAAATTGACTCGTGAGTGTGAAGCCAATCGAGAACACCGTTACCTTCAAGGAGCATTGCAGGTACTGCCAAGATCATGGTCGCGAACGGCGCCATGTAATACACTGTATTTATGCTGGTGTGGCCAAAAGAAAACAAACACCACAGATCCAACATTATTAGCAAAACATATATGAAACAACAGAAGAACAAAGAACGACACAGATGATTATTCGTTGGATGGTAGAGAATCAATGGAAAATGAAAACCAGTAGGGGTTGGGGAAAAGAGGGTTTCATTGGAAAAGATTTAAAAGTTCAATCACTATCTATTAAATAAAGATCAACTACTGATAACTGAACCATGTCATATTATAATATATGTCGGCGGAAGAAGCCATTTCATTTAACCATCAATGCCAGTGATAAAACATGTATGCATATCACGTACATAATTGAAGCCATTCAAATGTTCATGTTTATAAGGATTGTAACTATAAAATCAAGATTACAAACAAGAAGACTGAATAATATCAATCGTACTAAAATTAAATGCAACACCTAATGAAAAATACTTTTAATGATTCAATGTTCTGTGTTAAAAACATTGAAAGAACATTCAAAATTACATGTATTCGTACAATTATGTGACCTTAAAAGGCATCCATAATTGGTTCCGTTGTTATTCTCATAATTCATTACTTATCTAGTTTTCTTTGAGTCCTGTTGTGAAGGAGGCCAAAACGTGCCACAGTGCGAGAACGCATACAACTTAGAAGAAAAGGATTGTAATAAATTGTATTGTAATTTGAGTGACTGATGAGTATCTAAATGTCAACCATTCGTGGGGGTGGATATATGACACAATACCTAAACTAAGGTAGTCGTTCTTCCCATTATAAGAATCCAGCACCAAGAGTATCATTCATCAGTAGCTGAAGGTTACTATTTTACGTTACAACAAAAAGAGAAGGATGCGAGAAAGGGAACCAACAGCACGGTATTTTGATAACATTGACAGGAGTCGATAGAAAATCAAAAAGGTTGAATTGCTAAAGAGAGAATAATACAGACTGCAGCAAAGAACAAATTACTAGTAATGGCAGAATTGATCTTCAGAGATGGTAATATTCTCTTTACAGATCCAAAAACAAAAAACAGAGAGAAAAAGGCAGCTGGATGAAAGCAAATGGTGAGGACTAATGTGACAGCCCAAGCACCCTCTTTGGGCTTTCCCTTTTGAGCTTCCCCTCAAAGGTTTTAAAACGTGCTTAAAACCTTGAGGGGAAGCCCTTGAAGGGAAACCCAAAGATGACACTATTTGCTAGCGGTGGGCTTAGACTGTTACAAATAATATCAGAACCAAACACCGGGTAATGTGTTAGCGAGAACGCTGGCCCCCCAAGGGGGCGGATTGTGAGATCCAACATCGGTTGGAGAGGGGAACGAATTATAAGGATGTGGAAACCTCTCCCTAGCAGATGCATTTAAAAACCTTAAGAGAAAGCGTGGAAGGAAAAGCCCAAAAAGGACAATATCTGCTAGCGGTGAGCTTGGTCTATTACAAATAGTATCAAAGCCAGACATTGGGTGGTGTGCCAGTAAGAATGCTGGGCTCCCAAGGGGGGTTAGATTGTGAGATCTCACATCGGTTTGAGAGGGGAACGAAGCATCCCTTATAAGAGTGTGAAAACCTCTCCTTAATAGATGCGTTTTAAAACCGTGAAGCTGACAGCGATACATTTGCTGGCCCCCAAGGGAGGACGGACAATATCTACTAGCGGTGAGCTTGGGTTTCTTATACTAATTCATTGGCTTGAACTGCTCTACCAATTCATTGTAGACTAAGGAACACCTTCAATATGTTTTCCAATTCATCCAACCAAAACTAGCCACAGCTACATACTTATGAACACATTCTCTTTGGAAATCTTTGCAGGGTTTTAATATATACTTGATAGGGAATTGACTTTTCAGTATCTATGATCATGATTCTACTAATTGCATGAACGATACTGAACACATATCAGATATCTGTTCCTTGGGGGTATTTCTAAAGCGGGGTTTTCAAGCAACAGCTATCCATCTAAACCCAGAAAAAGAATGCAACACCCAGGAATTCAGGATGAAACTTGGAATCCAAAATGAATTAACCACGCATAAGGGCAGTAGTACCTGTCGAACTTGTATCCATGCAATAAGGACTCAGCAAGGATGGTCTTTGTTGAGGTAGCCAAACAACCAAACAAGGCAGCACAGAACCCAAACATGTTAAAGCTCATCTCAGTCACAGAAGTAAGAAGAATTCCTCCAACAATGGGTATCAAAGATGCCCATATTCTCCAGTCAAAGTACTTTCTCCATACAAGCCATTGTAAGACAACTGTTTACAACCAATTTAAGTCAAGAACAATGAATGTAACCACACAATTTTCGATTGAAATTTAAAAAATAAAAGAAACATAGAACAACGATAAAGAACAGATGATCACCAAACCATTTGAATTCAAAACCGTACCGGTTGTTGCAGGAGTGAAGGACTTTATTGTCTGCATGAAAGAAACCGGAATATAACGCAAGCTCACATTCCCCAAAACTATGTTGATACAAAACACAAACGACATGGGGAATATCCTTCTCCACCGATCTTGAGGGTCAACAGAAATCAGCGGCTTAACTTTCAACACTTTAATCGCTATATACGCTCCAATGGCGGAGCAGATGAAGTGAATGCAAGACACTGTTAGAGGAAATTTAAAATCCAATTTCTGCAGAAAACAAACAGATCAATTCACAACGACGCTAAACATCCATGGAATAAAAAAGACGAACAAATTGAACTGGAAGCAACCGAATCGAGAAAGAATTAAACAAGAAATGGAAGAAAACAGCGGAAATTCAGCAATACCTGAAAGATCCACTTGTTCATGATAATGACGGTGACATTAAAGCCCCACCATTGAAGAATCGCGAAGAGAGATCTAATGGTGCTCCACTGGCACAACCAAGCCTCCTCCATCTCTCTCGCTTCAGACCTCAGATGACCGAATGACCGACCGCGAAATCCCAATCACACCGAAATTCCGATTTAACAAAAAACCTCCACCTGAATTCGGAATTGGAAAACGCTCAATTGAGCGTAGTTGGGACCTGAGAAAATGGTTTAGCAGCTAGAAGTTAAGAGTACATGAAACGGATGAATTTGAACCCGAAAAAAACGCAGAAGGCATGGCATCCGCCAAGGATCGTACTCCAAATTCTCTCACTAATTCATTGAAATCCTAAACACGCTTCAGTTTGTCGCGTCTATGGCCTTGAGCTTTCGTTTGTTCGAAGGGTCTGTGCTCATAAAAGAGAACGGCAAGCGCAAGGGCATGGCTATTGCTATGGCTATTGCTATGGCTAATGGCTAATGGCAAATGGCTTGTATTCTCTCCTCCTTTTTACACGCCCCAAAAGGCTTGGGGATTGTGGGTCCCACTTTACACGTGTCCATTACTAAAAGAAGGTCAAACCGTCAACGACACGCCAGACAATCTCACCCGTTGGTTCCTTGTTTTCGACGGATTACAGAATTTGACGCATGTTGTTTTTATAAAATCATTTCAATATTATTAATTTTATTTATTTTTCGTTTCAATTCTAGTATTCTTTTTTCCAATTCAATAAATCTAAAATTTACTTATATTAGAATAAATATATTAAAAATAGTGGCAAATGATATATATCTATCTATATATAGAGACAATAATTTAATAAAGAAGAAGAATAAAATAATAGAAGCGTTTTGGAACCGTCAAATAGATTAATGCGATTTAATGAAGCATTATTAGCAAATAAATGAACCGGACCGGAAAAACAAGGCTGTTACTCTTCTTTTCAGTAATCAATTTATAAAATCCTACATAATAAATAAGGTAGCACAATCATAATGTATTAGGCGAAAATGCAACGCAATTCCGATGTGGGAATGCGAAGGAGCGCAATTTCATCACGGCTTCCCCACTTTTCAAACCTTTCCATTCATTCTTACTTACAGATATTGGTTAGATTTTGAGCGTCGGATGGATGCATGCAATAAAAATATTTGACTTTAATTCAGGTTTGTTGATTTTTTAATCTTTTTTTTTTTAATATAATTTTTATAATGCTTTTTCTTAACAGAGACATTTTTTCATTTGTTTGCAACACGTACACAACTCATTAATAGCAGCAATATCTATTTTTTACCAACAAAAAAAATTTACCACAAATTATCATAAAAGAAAATGTAAATATGTAAAATATCAAAGCTAGAAGAAAATGTAATATCTTCAATTTTACAAAAGTATATTGATATATAATCAATGTCTATATTAGTAATATTTTGATATTTGGTAAAAAATTGTAACGTATATAAAGCAAAATAGTACTTACTAAACTAAATAGCTGTTTTATTCTCGAGGGGTTAATGGCAAGTGAAAATGAAGTTTTAATTTTTCTGGGCCTCAAGCATACAATATGGAGTTTTAATTTCCTGAACTTGGGAACAAAACTTCATGAACTAGAGTCAACTAACTAATAAACTAAGATTAAACCATGAGTTTGGAGCCTTGTGAATTTGCATCTCCCGTTGCAGCTTGTTCTGCTCCTGTATGAGTCCATAAGAATTGGATCAGTGTTGAAATCTAATAGCTTATAGAATAGTGATCACCTTCAAGATTCGACTATGATTTTGGACCGGTTTAGAATGGCTTCCTAAGTGTCGTTAAAAAGTCATTCCAAACGAGCCTTCCTTTTGTTATCAAGCTTGAAAAAGAAAAAAGAACTTTCAAGAGTATTTGATTCATATGTTCAACCCTTGAACTAAATGATATGGATGGAAGTTGTCCTAATCTCAATTGAGACTTGAAAATCCCAAGTGATAGATTTGGTTATTGTAGGTAATCGTTTTATGCATTCCCAACATTGTTATGAATGAATTCAACAAGAAAATAAGGTAAAAGTTTTGCATCAAACGTGCATTTGAATGGTTTTTTTCGTCCAGTCTATATACTTGGGCTGACGATCCATTTCTACTAAAAGCAGACATTTGAGTCATGTTAACATGATTACCAATTCTGGAGCAAAGATCTTTATAACTCCCCACAAGTTGTGAAACACAAACTACAGTCATCGTCCACAGGGTATTATTATCACACGGTTGATGAAACTAAACCACGACTCAATAGTTGACTGATTTCCTCGCTACCTACAAACTTATCACTCTTAATTTGGAAACATAACCGACCCATAAAAACCGAGTGTTTCTGCTGATTGGTGTGCCTTGAGCTAAACAGAATAGAGAGACTACAAGGAAGATGTCATGTCCATTGATGATTTTACAACCAAGTTGGTGCTCATTTATGTGGGAGTCCAAAGGAAACACAAAGCCATTACTAGTTTTCTTCTCCTTGGGCAGAAAGGTTTGTGAAGCACTTCCCCTCTACATCAACTTTTTCGGTTTTTTATTTATCAACTAAGGATAGTCCGATGCAGCTTCGGTGTGGAATCAGTTTAAAGGGAAAACAGTGATTCTAGGAAAGAATGCAGTCTAGAACTAGGAGTCACGATCTGTGGCTCGATATTAACAGAGTTATAATAATAGGGAGAGATATGGGGAAGAAGTCTGAGATTTAGAGAAGTTCAATGTTCTTTTTTATTTTCCCCTTCCATCTCCTTTTGTGACTATTCGGCCTTTGCAATTAACTTCAATTGGAGTGCCCTTAAATTCCGAGTAGGAGAATTACTTCCTTTTCATATAAAATCTGTAACAGCCCATGACACTCGTTCCCTTCTCTAATCAAGGTGGGACCCCCTAATCCACCCCCTTTCAGGCCCAACATCCTTGTTGGCACACCACATCATGTGCACCCCCTTCGGAGCTCAGCCTCTTCGCTGGCAAATCACTCGGTGTCTAGCTCTGATATCATTTGTAACAGTCCACCAAGCCTACTGCTAGCAGATATTGTCCTCTTGGAGCTTTCCCTCAAAGTTTTAAAACGCATCTCCTAGGGAGAGGTTTCCACACCCTTATAAAGAATGGTTCGTTCTTCTCTCCCACCGACGTGGGATCTCACAAAATCACAGTTGAATAACCATGTTTTCTGGGTAAAGTTTTATGCATCTTATACTATGCACAATTCTTCTCCTAATGACAAACAAGTATATAGTGGCTTTAGGCTTGACCGGATTTTGGTTCATTCTTTTATCTTAAATTTGGTCATCAACTACACCATCCAATTCAATTCTCAAACACTTATTTGCCTCTAATGGTGATGACAATCATTCTCTTTAGATCCATAATCTTTTGGTTTTGGCTGGTAGTTCTTAGACAATTAGAATCAATGACAACCAAGAACGCGTTAATCCATTATGACAACATTGAACTTCAGAATTCGACAATGATAAAAATCAGGCCAACAATGATAGATGAAGTGGTAATGGAAGCCAATAATTTTTCCAAGGGAGTTTCAAGTGCTTGGAATGTCCCGACGACGAACTCAATTTCTAACACGAGTCCTATATGGATAAAGCCTTGTACTATTTCCTTAAAAAGCTAGCAAAAATTTCCAAATCTTACTAAACACACACACTTCCAACAGCAGAAAATCAAAAAAACAAAAAATAGATCAGAGAACAAGAGAACGAAGAAAGAAGAAAGGCGTATATTACCGGACGGGGATACCGGAGCTTCGCTATAGATAGCTTTGATCCTGGCGAGAGGGATCAAAGCGGAGTCTGTTGAGGCTTCAGAGTATAGCTGTTGCTTCCAATCCCACATGGTTTTCTTCAGCGCTTTATTGGAATTGAGAAGTGAATCTTTCTCAGCCTCCAGGGCTTCGATTTCCCGCTGCTGCTTGATTGATCTTGCGCTCAATGCGCCAAAGGAAATGACCAAACAGACGTTGATTAAGGTATTATTGTTGGTGGCATTGGTTAAAGTGCGAAGAAATTTGGAGGCCAAGTCCATTCTGCAGTGAAGATCGGGGAACCCTGAGGTTTTTCAGCCGCGTCGCCGTCGTCTTCCTCTTTAGGGGGAAGAAAGATCTTCGTGGGCTTTCCCGGCCCATAGTTGAAATGAATTGGGTCGTAAAGTGGGCTTACGGCCCACTACATTCCGTAGTAAGAGCATCTTAATTAAATGACAGTTTAGTCCTCCTAGAGATCTAACTATTTATGAAATTTCTTCAAATAATAGGGACGAGGTTGTAATTTAATCTAGAAATTTTTTAATTTTATATATGTTAATTGGTGGAATTAGGCTTAATTCAATACATTATTTTTAGCGGAAAGAATTGAACCCGATCCCTAGAATCAAATTTATAGATTTAAATCATTATCGTAATTTTAACTTAAAATTTGTATTGAAACTATTATTTTAGCCATTTAAAAAAGTATATTTTCATGTGTATTTAACAAAAATATGAAACATAAACCTAATACAAAATGGATGGGAAAAAGCTTGAGGATGGGTTCGTTTTTGGTACCTGATCCAGTTCGAGTTGGGTTCGAGTTCGAAATTTAAATTATTGGGTCACCCCAAAAATCTTGAATAAAATAGACCCAAGCCCACATAGCCAAAACCCATGAATCATCCTGGCAAGTCTACACTCTCATTGTCTCTCCCGGCTCTTTGACCATGAGCTTGAGACTTTGTCTCGTAGTCTCACACAACGTTCATCTTTGACCTTGTTTTGCCTCTACGTGTCTCCAAACGTTGACGTCACTCGCCTCTTTATTTCTCCGTTGGACTCTCTTCTCATTTCCCATTTCTCCATTTGACCTCGTCTCTGTGTTTCTCATCAGATGTCGTTGCCAACTGTCTCTCCCCTCGACGCTCCATTCCACTTACGTTGGACTTCTTCACTCGACGCTCTGTTGTTTCACAACCTGAACCCAACCCGAAAATAAAGAGTTGAGTTGTGAAAATTTTCGAGTTGAGTTGAGTTACCAATCCAACCAACCCAAACTTTTGTGTTGGTCCAAAAAAATCACTCAGCTCAACCCAACTCAATCCCGACCATGTATACCCCTAATCACATCCCTCCCAACAAACATTCTAGTTTTTAATACCACACAACGAGCATTTGCAATCAGTGCATTCTCAAAATATCTCCATTTTTTAGGTCGACACAATATTTAAGAAGCTCTAACCCCTTGGTCGAAGGCATATATGCCTTAACGAATGCCACATGTCAAGGCATTTATTCAAGTTCTACAATATATAGCATAACATATTCAAACCATTCAATTTGGGAACATACAGATCCATTTGCATTTGATATATGCAGAGAGAAGACATTTATGTTGTTGTAAACTTAATTGATAGATCAAGCAGATCAGTTCATCCTAAATGTAGTAATATAAGCGGTAGGTCGACTTTCTCGAAGAACACACACGCGCTCGCGCACGCGCACGTGCACAAGCACAAGGAGCATCTGTGACTGATCTAATGATTAACACAGACAAATTTATAAACATAATAAGAGGTTGCTTACAGGTTTGATTTCTTGTCTTCAGAGTATAAAAGATGGTTCCAAGTTGGATTCCTCGGGAGAAAGGTGTCCTGAGAGCCACAAAAATGATTCAAACACCCATGTGGAAACGTCAACTATAGAGTATATACTTAATGGCTATGAACAACAAATCACTATACCCATAGAAGCTCGGTAAAAAGTTTTATAAGGATGTGGAAATCTCTTCTTAGCAGACATGTTTTAAAATCGTGAGATTGACAGCGATACGTAACGAGCTAAAGTAGACAATATTTGTTATCAGTAGGCTTGGGCGGTTACAAAGATATCAGAGTCAGACACAAGCCGGTGTGTCAACGAGGAAGTTAAGTTCCTTTGTGAGATCTCACATTGGTTAGAGAGGGAAAACAAAACATTCCTCATAAGAATGTGAAAACCTCTTTCTAGCGCATTTTAAAACCGTGAGATGCATTTTCCGCTCCCCCATCTTGCGTAAGTTATGGGTAGTCAAAATCTCTCTTTTTGACGATTAAAACCATCAACTTCATGTAGAATTCCTCCTCGACAACCATATCCCTTGGCGGTGTATCTTTTTGCAAGGAGCACCATGAAAGGTCGTTAACGTTCTATGGTTGTGTTGTGCCATTTTTCACGTTTCGAGGAAAGTTTTTCTAGGCTGTTGAAAGGTTGTAACGACCCAAGTAGATATTATCTGCTTTGGCCTATTATGTATTGCTGTCAATCTCATAATTTTAAAACGCATCTATATTAGGGAGAGGTTTCCACACCCTTATAAGGAATGATTCGATTCACTCCAACCGACGTGGGATTTAATAATAAAAATGTTAGGTACCAAGACTCTCACAATGGTATAATATTGTTCACTTTGAGCATGAGCTATCATGATTTTGTTTTTTACTTCTCCAAAAGGTCTCCTCTCCAATCGATATGGGATCTCACAATCCACCCCCTTGGGGACCCAAAGTTCTTGCTGGCACAACATCTGGTGTCTGGCTTTGATACCATTTGTAACGACTCAAGTCTATCTCTAGTAGATATTGTCCGCTTTGGCCCATTATGTATCGCCATCAACCTCACGATTTTAAAACACGTATACTATGAAGAGGTTTCCACACCCTTATAAGAAAGGAATCATTTTCCTCTCCAACCAATGTGGGATCTCACAATCTACCTTCCTTAGGAGCCCAGCATCCTTGCTGGCATACAGCGCCCGGTGTCTGGCTCTGATACCATTTATAACAACCCAAGTCCACCGCTAGTAGATATTGTCCGCTTTGGCTCGTTATGTATCGCCATCAACCTCACGGTTTTAAAACACGTATACTATGGAGAGATTTCCACACCCTTATAAGAAAGGATCCATTTCCCTCTCTCCAACCAATGTGGGATCTCCCACCTTCCTTAGGAGCCCAGCGTCCTTGTTGGCGCACACCGCCTAGTGTCTGGCTCTGATACTATTTGTAACAGCTCAAACCCACCGCTAGCACATATTGTCCTCTTTGGGCTTTCCCTTCTAGACTTCCCCTCAAAGTTTTAAAAACGCATCGGCTAGAGAATGAGGTTTCCACACCCTTAAACGAAATGATCCGTTCCCCTCTCTAACCGACGTGAAAGGCAGATTTCTTTCTGTTCCAAGGAAAAACATCTAAACCTATTGGTAATCCATAGCCATATACAATCGCACAAGTAAACGGAGGTATTAAATTTGAAGATGAGTAACAAAACAAGCACACAAGAACGCAGCAATGATCCCCAAATGAGCAAAACAAACCAAAACTACACAAACCCAGTAAGGAAATTAAGACTAAAACAAGTTATTCAGAACTAAATGAAACTAAGGGATCAAAATTAGAAGAAACCCTAGAAGTTGCAGAGAAGAGAACTCACGGAAATGTAAGAACAAGAGGGAACGACGGCCAAGGAATGAGCGGCGGCATGATTGAAGGCGGCGGCGCAGAGATGAGAAGCCAATCCCAAACCCCTTTTGGAAGAAGGAACGAAAGTGTGAATCATATCAATGACTTTACCTTGATTTTTGATCACGTACTGAAGATAAGCCTTCTTGTCCTCTGTTTCGAACCTCCGTTGGGCTTCATTCCAGATTATCTTCGGAGCGTTGGTTCCAGATCCTGCTATAGGGTTTGTACTCGCCATGGCTGTCCCTTCGAAATCCTCGGCTGCTCAACTTCGGAGATAGCTACGTTGTTTGGAATTCGAGGTTTTCTTTTTTGGACTTAGAACCTTGGACTACGCCTTAAGTAGATGTCTAGCTGCTTGCCTGTCTGCTCGGATTTTTTCGTTTCCGCTTAGCTACCAGTATATTTAACAAATATGGTGAAATTTTGAATGTTATATTTATAAAAATAAAATAAAAAAATGATTGCATGACGAAAATCATCTATTGTCACTTCATAGATTATTTTAAGACGACCTAATTAGAGGTGTTAAAGCTTGTCACAATCGCACTTTGATGGTAGCTGACTTACGAGAGTTAAGCATATTCGAGACTCTAGTTCCGATTCAAGAAGAAAGTTTTAGAAAATGGAGGCAGAAAGATTTTGAGAGCGAGGCAGAAAGATTTTGAGAGCAAGATTTGAGAAAGTTATATGAGAATGTGAGCAAAAGACGGCAACAACGAATCAGGTAGAGAGAAGTTGACTAGCATAGGACACCAGAATAATATCATATCGAGATGAGAGAAAAAACATATTGTAACTATAAATATATTTTAGAATTTTTAAAAAATGTTTAAAAGTGTTTTTGGAGTTATCACAATAAAATATTTTAAGGTATTTTTTGAAATTCTAAAATATGTATTATTAAATTTTTAAAATTGAGTATTTTCTAAACATTTTTGAAAGTGAAAGGTATTTTTGAAATAAAGTATAACGATCGGTTTCCATCCAAAACTAACGATAAAGATAAAAGATATTTTATGGTATATATATACACTATTTTTAATAACATAGTAAGGAAGGTATTTTATTTGAAGAATATTTGGGTAATTTTCAAAGGAATCTGCATCCAAAGGTAATGTCCACACCGACTAAAATTAGAAAGAATATCACACAAAACAACCAGAAGAGCATGGAGGTTTGTCATAAAACCTGCTCATTACCATAACTCAATACAATACAATAGGTTCAGTTTGACATCAACAGAAGTAACACAATAACAAAATCTACTTAAAACATTTGAATCACAAATTCAAAGACGGTGGATCGACTTTACGTACTTTAATCTGCACGAGATTGGCCTGCTCGAGAGGAAAGAATGATACCGACAATAAGACCATAGAGGGCGAGAGCTTCGGCGAAGATGAGGATGAGAATCATTCCAACAAAGAGCTTAGGTTGTTGTGCATTGGCCCTGAGTGCATCAAAAACATGTGAGGGAGTAAGAATACCATTTGAGAAAGACTTAGATACATAGTGAGGGAGAGAAGAACACGAAAAATGATCTGCAAACCATGTCGAGTATCGTTGTCGTTATCTAGTGCTGGATGAAAAAAAGTACAGATGCATGAAAGCAAAAAGAAAACCAGTAGAAAGAAACGGTCGAGCAAAAGGTCGGGAATATATTTTGGGTCTAGAACAGTATAAGCCAGCATCAATACCTAGTCATAAAATAAAGATAACTCAAATGAATTGTAGTTCTAACTCTCCAAGAACGAGAAAGAAGACTCATTAATCTTGAGAATGATAGAGCAGATGGTAAAGTATCCTCTCTGTTAGACAACTCATGCGATGATTAAGAGTGAACATTGAACATTGAAAGAAATGGCTTAATTACGCATCCAATATCGACACCTATTGTAACAGCCCAAGCCCACTACTACCGGATATTTTCCTTTTTAGACTTTCCCTTTCAAGCTTCCCCTCAAGGTTTTTAAAACCTAGGGAAAGGTCTCCACATTCTTTATGTTTCGTTTCTCTCTTCAACTGATGTGTGATCTCACAATATACCCCCCTTCGGTGATCAGTGTGCTTGCTGGCACACCGCCTGGTGTCTGACTCTGATACAATTTGTAATACCCTAAGCCCACCGCTAGCAGATATTGTCCTCTTTGGGTTTTCCCTTTCGGGCCTCCCCTCAAGGTTTTTAAAACGCATGTGCTAGGAGATGTTCTCTTTGGGGTTTCTCTTTCGAGCTTCCCCTCACGGTTTTTAAAACGCGTCTACTAGAGAAAAGCTTCCACACTCTTATAAATAATGTTTCGTTCCCCTCTCTAACCGATGTGAGGTCTCACAATCTACCCCCTTCGGGGCCTAGCATCCTCGCTGGCACTCGTTCCTCTATCCAATCAGTATGGAATCACACACCTATTCACAAGGAGGTTCATGATACTATTCTCAAAATCTAACATGTTGATAGAATTCTATGCCAAAACACAAGATATTTCCAACTCTAGAGGCAATTATTATCCACATTGAACTACATTTGTGACTCTACAAAATTGAAGCATTTATCAGAAATGTAGCCATTCAGGGTAATTATACTATCATATCAAACCACAAGACAAAAAAACATCAAAACCTAACAGCCAAAAGATATAGAATATAAACATTACCGAACACCAGCATCACCAACAATCCCAATTGCCATTCCAGCAGAGAGACCAGCAAGTCCACAAGCAAGTCCAGAAGACAGATGAGCATACCCATCAAACAAATAGTAAGATTTCGCTTTCGGGTTTATTCCAGTACTAATAATAACAGCAATGATCAATCCATAAATACCCAACACTCCAGCCATAACAACAGGAACTATAGATTTCATGACGAGCTCTGGCCGCATAACTCCCATGGAGGCCACTCCAACTCCACTCTTTGCAGTCCCATAAGCAGCACCCATGCCTGTAAAAGAGAAATTATTGAGCATCAGTTTCATCATACTGCCGCTTCAACTGGATGATTGCGTGCTCCAGATAGGAAAAAATAGGTAAAAAATGCTATGATGCGTTACTTTACTAGGAAAGAAAACACCATAAACCTTCACATGTTGTACTGGAATACAAAATAATACAAAAGACAATCATCTAAATTGTATCTGAGTTTCAGGAGCCAATTTGATCATCAGAGTTACTTCTCCGAGGAATTAAAACAAAAAAATCTCCGGAGATCAAAGAAAACAGCACAGGATCCGCTTCGATCAATCAAATCTCATCTCACAATAGATCCACGCCACTTACATCACCCAAAGAAAAGATCTCCAAATTGGCCAATTACAAAAGATTCATTCCCGTCAACCAAGCCACAGAGTTCATTATCCCGATTGAATTCTCACATTCAATCAGCAGCCAAATTAGAATTCAAACCAAAAACATAACAAGAAATAGAACCAATCTGATCGATCCATATCGTATCGCAACTAAAATGGAAAAAAGGAAAAAATGAAAACAAGGAAGATAGAGATGCGAAGTTTACATGAGAATACAAGAGCTGCAGCGGCCCCGAGGAAGCCGAAGAAAGGAGCAGTTTCATCGCCACTGAAAGCAGACGCCATCGGATCAGAGCAACCAATATAGCTTCCGATCTCAACACTCCGGTAACCTTTTCTAGGTTGTTTTTTTTTTTTTTTTTAATCTTTATGTGTTCTTTAGATGAAGATATAGCAACACCGGTGATTGTTCGAACAGGAGAAAGGCCAGTAGTAGTCTGATTAATCAACCGAAATTACCTTAATAGCCCTACTATTCTTTTCTATTTACCGTAACTGATCTGGAACGTGTAGTCACGAGAACTTCGGGTGTTTATTTTTATTCGAATTTTATGAAATATTTCTTTTTAAGACGAAAATCTATTAATTTTTTAAATGAATATTTTCAAAATTAACAAAACCTTAAAAGAAACCCCTGGGACTTAAAATAAAATCCATAGGTAAAATTACATAAATAAAGAGGTCCTACCGGGAGTCGAACCCAGGTCGCTGGATTCAAAGTCCAGAGTGCTAACCACTACACCATAGAACCCTTTTTGGTGTAATGTCTACAAAACATTTTATTTAATAATAATAATATAATATTTTTTTTTATTTAAATTGGTTGTTGTACTTAATTTTGAGAAATTAGGGATTTTTTTTTTCTTTACAATTATTTCTAATATTATATATTTTTTTTTGTTTACTTCTAAAATTATTTATCAAGTGACTCGAGAATATTTTATATTTGAATTTATGAAATTTTAATTATTATTATAATATATAGTGTGGATAAATAAAAAAATTTAAAATAATTAAGAAAAATTAAACAATCTAAGAATCAAATCCGTTGTGAACGTTATTCGGTTTATTCGAGTAGTTTCGGGTTGGCTGAAAATTCTATTCCAACCCACCTTAACCTAACTCGGGAAGGCTTGGTTAAATATTTTTGCTAATTGTTTTTATTTATGGAAAAATACTTCTATCAACTCATTATCTATTTATTTATTTTTTAAAAAAAATGTATAATTTAAGGTACTTAGCCAATTGAAATGTCACAATCAAATTAAATCTTATTTTTCCGTTAAAATGCGGTTTTGGGTGTGGAGAAATTATTGAGAAAATACAGATAGACAAGAAAAAACAATCTGTTTCCTTTTTCCCCGTCGATTTCTTCAATTTTTCGTCTTCAAGCTGCGCTTTTGATCATCATTCTTCTTCCGATTCTCTCTTTCACCGCAATTCGTCTCGTAGAAACTTCAATTTTTGTTCTTAGGTCGCAGCTTTTGTTATTGGTTCCTGAACCTCGCTCAGATTATGTCGGAACTTGATCGCTACTGTCAAGATTTAATCATTTTTTTGTAGCAACTGTGATTCGCCATTTACGGCCGCGATATCTCTGTCAACGTTGCAGGCAGCATCGAAGTCGGCGTCGTATTCTGAAGCAGAAGAATGAGACAGTCGCCGGTCTTCGGAGACGATCACGTCGAAGGAACTCACGTTCGGGCCTTTTCGTCGCCTTCGCTCTGCCCTTCTTCTTCTCGCAGAGATGTTTATTACAGGTTCAATCTAATCTCTGGCTTCTATCTTACTGTGCGGTCAATTTGTTGCTCTACTTTATGCTGTAGGAGCCTCTGAATTTCTTTTTGCTTTCTTTTTTCTCATGTTCTGATCGAAGAATTGGATTGATTTGCCTGATTAAGGGATGGTTTGGCGACCATTTCTTGGTTTGCAACATTAATTGAATCGATTTCGAACTGATTAGTATTCTTAAAATCGTGATTGCCTTTTGAGAACGATCTGATCCGGCTTTTGGTGAAAGATTGTTTGGGTTGGGTTACATTGGACAGTAGTCGAGGGGAATTCAGCAGATTTTAGGGCAAAT